GTGAGCATGGAAGGAGATGGAAACCTGAAGTGAAGGCTATAGGAAATCCACTTACACAGAACAAATATCTTCTTTTTGACTCACACCACCCATTGGAACACAAAATTTCAGTCCTTTCAGAACCTTAAAACATCGCGCTGAGCATGTAGAAGCACAAAGAACAGAAACACATCAAAGATGCTCTCCAAACCTGGGATACCCAAACTGGGCGTCTGTCAAATCAGTAAGGAAATTCAAATGATACGCAACAGAACATAACATTGAGAAGATCAAACGCAAAAACATATCCATCCCTTATGTTGCTGGAGTCTCTAAAAAACTCAGAGAATTCTCTCCAAACACAAAATCCCAGTACATTTCAAACCTAGCAAGACCCTTAGACAGAGGCTAGTGCATCCTAAGGATAAAATTCCTAAACCAAATATAAGCGGAGTGGTGTATGCAGTGCAGTGCAGCCAGGAATGCTCTGATCTTTATATTGGAGAAACCAAAACGACCTCTCCACAGACGCATGGCACAACACAGAAGAGCGACTTCCTCTGGACAAGACTCCGCAGCACATCTACACCTTGTGGACAAAGGACATTCTTTTGAGGACAAGAATGTTCAAATTTTGGATAAAGAAAATAGGTGGTTGGAGAGGGGCATGAAGGGAGCCATCTATGTTAAGAGAGAAAAAAAAACAACCTTAAACACAGGGGGTGGACTAAGATTCAAGCTTCCAAAAACTTACAATTCAGTTATTGAGTTGATTCCTGCCAGGTATCACAACACTCCCCACCCCATCACAGAGGAACAAAGTACCTCCCCGCTCCACCCGGTGAACAATACCTCCTTAAAGACCGACTCTTAACAATCATAGACAGGTTTCAGGTATTACAGGCTAACAATGGAACCAAACGACCCGCTCGTCAGTTTCAATTTGCATGTTTCCAAGCAAAACAAGGCCTTGTATATAAAAAGCCTCAAACTCAATGCGAATCAGGACATTTTGAATTGAGAAAGCTTGCTGCTTGTTTTTAAAACTTTTACGGAACCCCTTTGTCTGTTCCAATTTGCACGTTTTCAAAACAAAAACAAGCCTTTGTTGGGCTGCCATACAAAACCTCGAACTCAACGCTATTCCTGACATTTTTAATTGAAAAAGCTTCCTGGATGGAAAGCAAAGCATCTTCAAACTTGGAAACCAAGTCCATGGATTGTTTTGAATTTTTTAATTAATGACTATTACCTGGATGACTGAGAACCTTTACCAGCATGTTAGCATTTTGAGCTAATTAAGTAAAGGAACACCCAGTTCCCACCTACCAAAGTTTGGTTTTTGCGAATTCAGTTCACAGCTGAAATAGCAGCTGATGCCATGAGAAATTACAACTTACTTTTACACTGTCTCTGTTCCTTTCTCAAGAATGAAGTTGCAGATTTTGAAAAAAACAGATGTGGTAGCGACAGTTATGCTGCCATATTTATTTTGTTTTACCTATGGGCTCTGCAGGTCTTACTCTACTTGCAGCTATACAGTATGCCCCTCCTTACACCATAATAATGCAACATGATCGACTGACCTTTATTGGATTGTACTTGAACAACTTAAGCTGAAGTGGTACAAGATGGATTCTCCGGTGAATTTGCAAATACAGCAACAAATCAGCTTGCATGCAAGGTTAGAAAAGTGACATCAACGAAAACCTTGTGATCATGTATAAAAAGTGCTAAAGCCAATTTAACGATTTCAACTTTTTCTCTCCGTCTCTTTATCTATGAAATCCGAGCTCTGTGTTTTAAAAGGGACAGTAGGGAGGTACTCTTGTATATTTTTATATATATATATAACAAAACTGGACACAATAATGACTGCGTCTATCTTCCCAAACCTGGATATTTCTTGCTTGTTTAAAGCTATAAAACAACTGGCTCCTGGAATGCAGCAAGTAATAACCAGGAAGGTCAAAAGATAAGCTCCATGGCATCATACAGGAGCCCTCAGGGTTACAATGCATGCTACAAGCACTCAGACTATGGCTGGGATCAGGTATAACTGCAGACGGCAAAGAAACTTTGAGGACTGATTCGAAACACTAAACGGGATCAGATCTGCAGCTGTGTCGCTCTGTCTGTTAATCCTACAAAGACTCAGAGGAAGGTGGGGAATATCAAGACCTTCCTCTTGTGAGGAGGCAGAGGTGGACCCAGATTGGTTCAGATTAAAAGCAGAGCGTGTCTCGACCGGGAACTGAACCCCACGACTCTCCTGGACGCTAAGAGGTAAAGCCAGAGTCTCGCCACTATGGCTTACAACAGCAAAACCATCTGCTGAAAAACCAGTGGATCCAAGCACAGAACCAGCAGACCCTTCTGTCCTCACATTCCAGTTAACATTAAAATCCTCCTATGCCTTAGTTATAAAGTTTATCTTATTTGTTTCGAGCTAAGTTTGCATAAGTATATGATAAAGGTTAAATAACTTAAAAATATATTGGAGCAATGACTAAAGGGTTCCTAGTATAGTATCGCCACTGAATGTGCATGGCAAACACCATAATAGAATAAATATGAAAATTCCCCAGCTTCTCCCTGAAACACAAAGGATCATATGATTTGATGACATAGTTACATTTACAGCAGACACACCAATAAAATACATGGTGATTGCTTGGTTTTTGCTACAGTATTTTTTACATACTATCCACATTAACCAAAATCCATGCTGAGTGTCCATTTATTTTTGACACTAAACCTTAGAATATGGACAAAATATGTCTGAATAGCATGATAACGTGGGTTGTGAAGGCCATATCAGTAGAGCAAGTTTGAATTAAAGAGGTTCCAGCCGCAAAGCAACGGATGCAAGTTTAGAGATAAAGATCATGTAACTGAGTAAAATGTTAAGTACACCAACTTTGTTGTGTTCCATACACTGCAACCCAATGCACATAAAAACCCAGATTTATCTGTAAAAAAAAGCGTAATAAGCCAGAGACAGAATGACCTAGATGGTGGTTTCTCCATATTCGCTCACTGAAAGAAATCTGTGGTCAACCTTTAGAGTTCTCTGCTATAGAAAACTGGGTCTGTGGCTGATTAGCTACCTGCAGCAGCCTTTCAAAAGCAGGTCAAAAGCAAGATATGTTGTGCATGCCTAGCTAGCGGAGCAAATTTACTCTATGATGTGTATAGTGAGTCCTTTTTCCTCACTATTACAGGACAACCTATTTTCGGGGTCACCTGTTAAGGGATACAGAAAGGTGTTTTTTTATATATTGCGTAAGCATTTGATTATTGTTTTTTTTTTTTTTTTCGACCGAAGCACTAACAGCTGCTGCTTTTTGGTAATGCTCAGTCCGGTATCTTGAAGATTGTTTTTCATCGTTATTTTAAACCAGTGATATTGGACCTATGAATCATTGAAGAAAAGAAAGGCTCCTAAACTTAAGGAATCTGTATTGTCAGAGTTTACCTTAGGACAAAGGAAGTGATAGCAGGAACATACAAATGTTAAAAAGATATTTTTAAAAATGTCCAAATGTGTCAATTAACAATTAACATACATAGGACAAGAAAATGTTGATTTTTTTCTTTGAAAACTAGCAGGACATGCTAAAAATCGCTATCTACTACTAGTTAGTTTGTTGACGTTACCTTGCTAGCATGTATTGCTGTGTTTTTCGTTTTAGGCTACTTAAAGGTATAGCGGAGGAATTTCGTCTCTCTTCTTTGATAAAAAATGCACAAGCACAACCCTGTACCCGCTCCCAAGAGGGAATGCCTATTTAATGCGTGTTTAATTAGCCCTGCTCAAGAATTTTATTCAATTCAGTTCAATTCAATTCAGTTTATTTCTATAGTGCCAAGTCACAACACATGTCATCTCAAGGCACTTTACAGTTCAACCAGATGATCCAGTCAAATTGGTTAAAAGTTTTCTAAGGAAAACCAGGTGATTGCATCGACTCGTTGGCTCGAAGGAAATCCCTGACACTAAGCATGCTTGTAGCGACAGTGGAGAGGAAAAACTCCCTTTTAACAGGAAGAAACCTCCAGCAAAACCAGGCTGTGTGAGCGGCCAACTGTCACTTGCAATTAATGTATATAATACTTAAATTAAAATAAGCATGCTAAATAATTAAATAGTACGTTAACTGTGCTAAATAATTATATTTAGCATGCTCAAGATTTATATAAAAGGCTAACTGTGCCACTTAAAATAGTAATAAGTTACAATGTTACTTTTGAGCATAAGGTCTTTATCCCACCTGAGCTCTTAAAACCAAATCATTATTAAAAGTCTATTGAAATAAAAATTTAACATAAAACATAAAGATGTTTGGTTTTTATCTTGATAAGCTTTACCAGAAGAATGTGTCAGAAGTAATTTGAACACATTTTATTTAGGTTAATATTTATAGAAACAAAACACAAATACTACAAGTTTCACACAGCTTGACAGAGAGAGAGGCATTTACATCAGACATTGTGAATTGGCTGTTATGTTAAAAACTTGCCCTGTGTTAGACTGTCTTTGTTTAATTGTTATTAAGTGCAAACCCTTTTCCATGAAAAAAGAAAAAAAAAACGTGAAATAAAAAAAGATATTTGGTGTTTTCAAAATGAAAGGAAGGAGGAATAAAAATATGCCATCACAGAAAACTTTCACTGATAACACAAGCTTCCTGTGAGGGCAGATTTTATCAGAGGTGTCTCGATGTATGAGTCATCAGCTTCAAAACAAGCTGTTCTTTCAGCCAAAAGCCTGATATGAAACTAAACACATAAGCAAAACGCTATAATTAGATAGTCGTTCACATGAAAAATTGACATTGGGTAAAAGAATAAACATCAGCTTCTGCAAGAACATTAATGTTTACCAAACAAGCAGGAAGATCTCTCCAAGATGACATGAGCAAATGCAGACATGACATTTTACAATCCTGGAGATAAATGAAATGTTTTTAACCCTGAAGCTGCAGGATGAAGAGCAGATTTAAAGTTCAACAACTCACCTCCAAGCGTTTCTCGCTGATGATTGATGAGCAGGCGAAGCTGATGTCAGGGTAAACAGAGGACCAGCCTTTCTCTGTGCAGTTCCTGCTCAGGTTACCTGAAAAAAAGACAGAAATGAGTTACCATCTTTATTTTCTACATGTCTAGATAATCACCGTCTCTCTCCTCCTTCAGTGATTATTTTGTAAAAGGCTGAGAATAATTTCTAAGCTATTACAGTAATGAATTGTTTCTATGTCAAACGTTAGTAATGTTTAATGACATAATGTAGTGACCTTGTCCCAACTTAAATACCTTAATAACTGAAGGACAGGTGTTGCGCAGAACTTAAGTGGACCCTGGATCTCAACCGACTGGAAATACAGTATACACACCCCTCCTGCAGAGGGACAGTTGGTTTACATTAGTACAGCTGTGTACAGCTGCTGAAAAGGCCAAAATTATTCCACTATCCACTAAAGCTTTTCTTTTCCAGCATAAAAAAGACTTGCTTATTGGAGCACAAATTGACTGACCAAAATGAAACTGGCTAAATGACATTCAACCAAATATAAACAGGTGAATGTATATATTTCAACTTTTGTGGATAATTTTGACTATTTCTGGTTTGAAGACAAAATATAAAGTATGTATTCTTCATTATTGTTCCACCCTGGTAAAAAGAACTCTTTAAAATAATATGAAAAGAATAAAATGAATATGGCATCTGGGTCAGTCTGAAAGTGTCCTCACACTGTGACATGTCCAGGAGGATGGGGGTATTTTAAAGTCACAGCTGGTGATCAGCTGCTGTTATGTACGCTGGTGATGATCACATTTTTTTTTTTTGTCTCTTTCTCATGAAGCATCAAGGTGGATGAACTACAAAGACCAGCTGGCACTTACCATGATCAAAAACAAGCTTAGAGCAGATATACACAGCAGGGAGGACAGGGAGAAGGGACAGATGAAAAGAAAACAACCAAAAATACAAATATAAAGTACAAAAAAATGCTAATTCTGATGTAATAATAAAAAAAAACAAGTTACAAAAACTTCTACCTTTTTATATTTTAATAGAAGACAAGAGGGTCAAAAAAAAGGATAATAATCAATTAATCGATTTATAAAATACTGAAGATATAGGGTAACAGTGATCGCTTTATCTATAGGGTGAGTGCTAGAAAATAGAGTCTGGTGGATTCTTCTTCTGTTCATGATGGCTGCCATCAGAGAAAGTATGCAGCTGAGACCATTTTGCATGAAAATGACCTCACATGCTGGAAACTGCTAATGAGAAATATGGCTTTCTGGATCACTATTAAAGCTCGAGTTCAGCTGCAGAGAGGAAAGCAGCATGGTTGCCTGCTCTTCAGCAATCAAGCTGCTATTTGCCTCCTAAAAGTGGCTAGAAGTTGCTAAATGATGTCATCAACTGATTTGCATAATGCTTTGATCGAGCCAGAAAGTTATCAGTTATTTAAAACACCCTAAATATGCTTAAAAGTTAAAAATGAAACTTATGAAATATTTTCATTTGATAAAAGTCTATGTAAATTAATCTTGTTATGTTATCAAATAACATTTAAGGACAATTAACAGAGGTATAACCAGTAGATGGTGCTGTTTTTGAATGCGATGGAAGATGAGATCTAGTTCAGTGCAACAGTTTCAAAGAAAAAAATATAACATTAAATATTTCTTTCCCACCCTGCTTTGAAGGGAATCAGTGGATTATATTGACTGACTCTAAATGCCTCAGTGCTTTGGAGGAGCTTTCAGAAAACAGTGAACTAAGGGCAATCTGTGTTTTAATGGTTTTCGCCAAAGTCTTCAACTACACAGTAAAAAAGTCACTACATTTGTCAAAAAACACTAAAAGGGCGTGAAAAGTCGTTAAATATAGCAATAACATTGCTATATTTAACTGCCACCGGTGCAGAGCTTGCTAAAACACTGGCAGCTGAAAGCTTATCATCACAAATTGACAGAGATGGCAAAAGTACTCACTTTCCGTACTTGAGTAAAAGTACAGATACTTGTGTTAAAGAATACTCTGGTAAAAGTGGAAGTACTGATTAAACTTCTTTACTCAAGTAAAAGTAACAAAGTACAGGCTTGTAAATTTACTTAAAGTATAAAAGTAAAAGTAGAAACCACTTTCTTCATGCGGTTGCCTACATTTTAAATGGATGTCTGCCAATAGGACTAGATCTCCGTTGTGTTCATTTTCAATCATCTCGTCGTCCGTGCTACTATGCTAACGCCACCGCCACCAAGCTGCAATGATTTGCCGCCAATGAATACCGCCGAATCTGTCGATTCATCTTGTAGTGGTGCGTCAAATGCAACGTAGATTCCCATCCAATTAGATTGAATTTGGTATTGATGACGTGAAAAATAATAACGGTAACTCCATTAAAATGATTCAAAACTAAAGTAACGAGCCAATTTTTTAAAAATGTAAGGAGTAGAAAGTACAGATATTTGTATAAAAATGTAAGGAGTAGAAGTAAAAGGTCGCCATAAAAATAAGTAGTAAAGTAAAGTAAAAATATCAGAAAAATCTACTTGAGCACAGTAACGAAGTTTTTGTACTTCGTTACTTCCCATCTCTGCAAATTGAGAGGAGAAAACATCGGGACAAGACAGGCAGAAAAGAAACTATTGTTGTCTAACAAAACCCTTGATGAGAGAGCAACATGCTGCAGGAAGGACAACTATGATCAGCAGAAGAAATGATCAAAGATGTCCCTGTTCTATAAGAACCTTCTAGGACTAAAGAGGGGATTCAAACTGGCTGTATTAATTGATTGGGGGTAAGCTTTCCTGCTTTTTAAGGAATTGTATTTATTAGGGATGCACGATATAATCGGCCCCCTATCGGTATCGGCCTGTATCGGCCTTAAAACTGAATATCGGACATCGGCCACCCCACCGATATTTAACCCGATATTTGATCAGCTTCTGAGTTTCTAAAGTCTAAAAAAAAAAAAAAAAATACTACTTCTTCTTCTTCCTCAAAAACTTCTTTTTTACAGACTTAAAAACTTCTAAAGACGAGGGAAAAAATATTGAAACATTAAAATATCCCAATATCTTCATATGCTGATATATTGCCATTTAAAAACACCATATCAATCTCTTTTACTAATGAAATATTGCTATATGTCATCATTATGCTACGAAATCCCCTGAAAATCCACTAAATTTTGCCATATTTTTATATGTTGATATATTGACGCGGTATCGATCTATTTTACTAACAAAATCTGACAAGAATTTGCAAAATATCACGAGAGTTTGTAACAGAACGATGAAATTTCACGAGATTTTGAAAGTAAAATAGATCCATACCGTGTTTTAAAAAATCAATTTGATATCAGCATATGAAAATATATTTGAGTATATTATTTTTCAAAGTGTCAGAAATGGATAACAAAACTGCTATTTTCAATGACTACTTATTTTTGTCCAGCTTTAACATCAGTATCGATATCGGTTATCGGCTACATGAGTTTTAAAATATCGGCATATCGGATATCGGCCAAAATCCCAATATCGTGCATCCCTAGTATTTATTAATATTCCTATCTGGTTGATCAATCTCTTGTTAGATGGGGGAACAGCCTTAAAGTTCAGTTTAATTTTTCATCTGAAAATAATTGAACACAGGTTATATTTTGTATAACACATTATAAAATATATAAGACTATATTTCTTTGATTTTCTGCATATTTTTATCTCATTCTATAAGGCTCCCCCCATGCCACTCCAGGGGGGCACAGCCACCTCTATGAAAGTCATTGAACCAATGAAAACATTTGCTCATACACAAACACCACCGCAGATCCATGATTTTTGGTTAAAAAACATAAAAAACACCAAAGAAGTTTGTTTATTTATTTCTGTTGTTATTTGATCAGAAAATTAAGAATCACAGTTCAGAGGGAGTTTCAGGGGCACTAATAGTATTAGAGTGTCTGAGAGGTTTACATTTTTATTAGAAAGTACAAAGTGGACTACAAAGTCATTCAAAGATGGAAAGCTTTTTTAAGATTTCAAAGAAGTTGGGATAATCATCAGCTCAGTTCCCTAATCTCACTAAAGGATTAGGATCTACAGAGATGTTTGTACAGAAAGGTAAAAAGCTCTTAGGGTCACAGCCAACTTTAAAGCTACTGTATGAGCTTCTCATTCATTCTGATGGGAGCCTGGTCTTCAATATAAATAATGTCTCTCAATTTTCTTCTCTTATCATCACAAGACTTACCTAACAGACCTTTAGCTGCTTTGATTGACAACTTATTTTATAGTCTACTATTATATACTATTATATAGATAACCAATGCTTTTTGTTTAGGCTCAGTTTATCCTGAGCTATCTCTATAGTTATTCTGTTATAGGTTTAGTCTGCTGGAGGACATAGGGACCTCTTATTAACTATTCTGCTTCATTCTATCTCTATTCTCCAACTCTGCAGAATCTGTTAGTTCAATCTCTAACGTTCTGCTCTCTCTGCTTTTTCTCATAGTAGCTTCATCTGGTCTGTTCCTGATTGGCTGTGACTCCATCCTGGAGAGAAACATCAGCTGTGCTGCTGCCATCAACACCTTTGTTTATGTTGGAGATCGGCCTGTTTTTCAGTGTAGTCCTGTTTCTCTGTCTGTGAGTGGCTGGATGTGTTTTCTTCCTCCTCTGACATGGGAGCTGGGTCAGAGGTCGTCTGCCTGGCTGTGTGTTTCCTGGACTGGGCCACCTGTGGAGCTGGTTGACAGTTGCCTTTTCTGCTTCTGTCTCCTTGAACCCCAGTCGGCCTCAGCAGATGGCCGCTCACACTGAGCCTGGTTCTGCTGGAGGTTTCTTCCTGTTAAAAGGGAGTTTTTCCTCTCCACTGTCCCTATAAGCATGTTTAGTGTGAGGGATTGCTGTAGAGTCAATGAGTTGATGCAATCACTGGTTTTCCTCAAATAGAAAACTTTGAATCAATTTGACTGTATGATCTGGTTGAATTGCAAAGTGCCTTGGAATGACATGTGTTGTGAATTGGCGCTATAGAAATAAACTGAATTGTATTGAATTTTTTTTGCCGTCTTAAAGTGTAACTCACTCCAAAATAAAACAACATAAACTCGGTCTATGGGATGATATTTTAATGTTAGTGTGCATTTTTTTTAACATCATTTGAGATTTTTAGGTTTGGTCTCTTAACTCCCTCACTGCTGCTGAAGTGGTTGAATAATGGCTACTGGAGTTTAATTTTCCTACAGGGTTAAACGATATAATGAGGAACATGTCTACAGTGTGTCACAGGTTCAGGCATTTGTCATCATCACCAACATACAAGCATCTCAAAAAACAAGATGTGTTCATTCTCAAAAAAAAAAAAAAAAAGCTGAAAATATAAAACCAACAATCCTAATCTTATTTCAAAACTCTAACTTTAAATATATGGATAATTACAAACAAAACTTTTTGCAGGTATGAAATGTTTTTATTTGATCCAGTTTAATTCTTGAACTGCTATTATTTCTATATTTGTCAAATAAAAATGTTATGCTGATTGTAACAGATGCTGGCCTTTCAGTTATACTAGGAGTGACACCAGGAAGCAGGTTGTCTCAGTATTAAGAAGAAGTTAGATGCTAATAATATGTTTATTTCTGATGAACAAGCAGATAATAAACAACTTTCTCTGAGGTCCTTAAACAAAATACTAATGTTTCTGGCAAAGGATCACAAAACCTCAAACTTCCAAAGATAGAAAACACTTTAACCAAATAGAATAATGGGCTGAACTTTGAAAGTATTATCTAATAGCTAAGATCATATTGGGCATTAAGGGAATGGCTTGAAGGCAGACTTGTAAAGTGCCTTGAAATGATATGTCCTACGATTTGGGACCATATCGCTAAACGTTCCTAATATTTCAATGTTTTTCTGTGTTTGATGAAGAACTCCCCTAAAAGTTGTTAAAAACAGTCTCACAATCCCCTTACCATGTGTATTGTGAACTCCAATAAACTCCAAGAGGTCCATAGCCTCTTTTAGAAACCCCTGCTTTAAGCAGCTGGAAGACGCATGTCAGGACCAAATGTGTCAAGTTTAGAGTTAGTTAGCTGAGGATCCAAATGCAAAGATGAAGAGGCAGAAATGGGTTCTTGCAGATCTAATTTTGGGGTAGATGGTAACAGAAGTACAAATCCAGAAATAATAAACAGGGAACCAAAACTAGGAGACGCCAGATAGAAGCTAGCATGAGGACTGAAGAGGATCCTCTGCAGTTCCTTGTCTTGGCTTGTTTTGTTTAATGGCGGTTGGCAAACAACTTTTCGGTGTGAGTTACTGCCACCAACTGGTGAGGAGTGTGGATCAGAATGGCCTTATTCATAAAGATACTTGTATTTATTTATCTATATCTATAATATTACATTACCATACTAAATCCTCCTAATTATTGTCAATATGAAATATTTAAATAAATATTGGTAACATTTTTTGACCTTTTCTGCAGAATATCTATCAAATCCCTCTGCAGTTCCTCTCCAGAGAACGAGTTTATATAGGAGAGAGCGATGAATGGAGTAATTAGCTAATTGGGAGCAGGTGTGGACAGAAGCAGCTGAAGGGAAAGCAGAGGGGAAGCAAGGAGTACACAGGGTTTAACTAAAATTAGAAAAGAACTTGAATGAAGCAAAAGGGAAATAAGACCAATGACTAGAAAATAAAGAATAACCAACGTGAACACTAGAGAATAAGAGAATACACTGGAGAGAACTGAAAAATCACCAAACAGGAATAGTAAAGCTAATAAGTAATTCAAAATATGATATAAGTCTTAACAGTAAAAACAGAATAACATAAATCCATCACAAAGTGAAAACTAAACAGAACCAAAAATACCAGAACGGCAGATCATAACAAAATGTCTGAAGATATAAATAGTATTGTATATTATCTAATGTAAACTAGTGTACAGCAGCCTGTAAATTGTCACATTTATACAAGTCATTGAAGTCTCAGAGTCTGCCTCTTTACCTCTATAACGGAGGTTAGCAGATATGGTACCTAGAAGCTCTATATCAACATAGCCAGCTCTGCATTGGTTTTGCATCCTTGTTTTTGGTTTAGGTCTTAAATAAAATTTTAGATTGAGCTCAGTGATTCTTAGTTTTCCCATCCTTTCCTCATCTGACAAATGTTTTGTTTGCCTTTTTGCTGGCTCCATTTCATAAAGCTCTAAAATAAATAAATATTGCTTCTCACATGTGGGTAATTACGTGGCTAGGAAAGCAATGGCTTTATGTTTGGCAGCCGCTAAGCTAAAAAAAATGAACAAAACTAGACTCCCAGCAGGTCAGTGGTACTGAAAGTTACAGACCTGGTTTTCTGACCAGAGCCAATAAGGGGAGATAACAGACCGCTTGTCTCATAAACACTTAGATTTGTTATGATCTGCCATTTTGGACTCTTTGGTTCTGTTAAAGTTTCATTTTGGGTTTTTCAGTTATGCTTCATCTGAAGTTATTCTGTGTTGTTATAAAGATTTATATCATTTTGGAATTCTTAGTTTTACTCTTCCTTGTTATTTCTTTTAGTCATAGAATTTTTATTATTTATTCCTTGATCTAGTTTGTCTTTATGTTGTTTTTTCCATGGCTCCATAGTTATGTCCAGTTATCTCTAGTCCCATATCTGCTAGTTTTCCCCTTGATCACAGTTAGATTCTGTTGTTTTCCCTGTTTATTATTTGTTGGCCCCTTGTGCACCTTATCTTTCCCCTTTGCTTATTTCTAGTTGCTTCGGTCCACACCTGCTCCCAATTAGCTGATTACTCCATTCATCATTCTGTCTCCCATATATCAAACAATCAGTAAATCAAAGTTTATTTCTATAGCACTTTATAACAACACCTGGAAGACCAAAGTGTTTCACAGAAAAATAAAAACATAATTAAAAAACAAAAATCTTGTGCAGTTTCTAATTGCTGGGTTCTCTTCATTCTTATGTTTGTTTCTCCCGAGCGTTTCCTAGTTTTGGTTACTAAATTCCTTGTCTGTAATTTATGGATAAAAGCTTCTGTTACTTTTAAACTCTTCATTAAATTTGCACGGAACCATCTCAGCCTTCCATGTCTCTATTTGGTCTTCTACAAACATCCACTAACCGTGACATCATTACTTTAACAGGGACTTGAAAGGGGATATATTAGGGTAAAATGTTACTTAGTGCTGCTTTATTAACAACAATGGTCCCAATTCTTATTATGCCTATACTTAAAGTCTAAAAAGTGAGCAAATTAATGATTTTATTTACATATAAACATACATTCACATGTACCTTAAAAAAATTTAAATATTATTGATGTGTTATGGTTTGGGCACTGATGGCTGGTTTAATTGCTCATTTAATTCACCTGTCTAGCTCTGCCCTGTCTCTCATCAATGCTCTTCTGATCCACCTGCTCCTGTTTCTACTTAAACTCCTTGGTCTCAGCCATCAGTGCCAGATTATGCTTGAGCCTTCGATGTTGAGAGTTCTCTAGCATTTCTATAGTGTTCTTATTTCCTGATCCTGATCTGTTTCTGTGTTTGGACCTTTGAGCCTGCCCCTGTCTGATCTGTTTGCCTGACCTGTCTTTGGTCTCCTGTTTGTTTATTCTGTGGACTGAACCTGGATCTGCCTTTTGACTTTGCCCCGTGGATTATCCTGCCTTCCTTTGTCAGCTCAGATCTGATCTCCTGTAAGCTTTGCAGCCTTCAAGGCTTCCGTATCTGGAATTCTCTGGCAGCGTCCGCTGCGTCTTGTCAGCCGACCAGCTGGAATCATCCTCATTCTCTGGGAATGGACTGAACTGTCAAACCAGGTTAGTGACTCACATGCTCATAATCCTCCATCAGATTATGGTGAACACTAACCTGTGTTTCTCTCTGCCTTATGTCCTAGCTGCTGTTCCTGCTGCCACTGCAGATCTGTGCTGTCATTGTTTCAATAAACTCTTTTCAAGTCTTCCTCTGTCTTTCTTGCCGGAATTCTGGGTTCTGCTTTCTGAGTCCTTACATGATGTAGACTGCCCCTTACTAATAACACCAGGCCTTATCTTAAACAATATCATGCTTGGAAATTCGCTTTAGTTCAACATTGGGTCTGTTCAACACTTTTACACCATTTATTGAAATGCGTATTCTTTTCATGGTTATTTGAACCAGTAGATTAAATCTTTAGAAGAATTTGAGGATGATACATTAGGGAAGCAGAAAAAGGAGTGTTCATTTGTTCTAACATTTGTTACATATACTCTGTAAAAACCCACTGCTCCTGGAACAACTCATAGGGCCCAAAGCCTGTTTTGTTTAAAGTTAAGGTCAGACATAGGCCATAGGAATGAATGAGGAAATAAAGTGAATCAAATTCAAGCTCCCAGTGAGAATAAAAACATGTAATGTGTGTGTTAGTGTGTGGATGTGTAGGTGCTACGCTCACCATTTTTGCCGAACAGGAGCAGGAAGGGGGAGGGGCACGGAACGGTCAGTACTTCCCCGACGGCCGCACTGTGCCAACAAGAGACGTTGCTCCACTCGCCTTCACATCCTGCACGCATAATATACACACACATTCACACATAATATATACACACACACAGATAAAACGCACAAAAAGAAAATTAGCCAGGTCTGAATTTCCTGTTTAGCTGAGCTACTTATTTAAAACCCTTCCAAGCATATTCAGCATAAATCAGGTCCACATGAAAGCTTTCCGGTAGCTCAGAAATGTTTTGACACTTTGCTGCGCGCCGCAGTCAGAGAAGAAGGAAGGCCTCTTGTGATTTGATCTAACGGGTGATTTAAGGAGGTACAATAAATATCTGGGACATTACAGTGAAAACATAGACCTTTGAATGTTAGATCTGCTTCTATTTCTGAAACATTCAGCAACTGTAATACATTTCAAAGGTTATTAATCTCAGCTTTAATCAGAGATGGGGAATATCAACTTTTTTGTCATATTTTTCTAGCACAGAATAAAGATATGTACATATTTGATGTCAATCAAAAATCCAGATATATAGATAGTCATGAAATGCTATCTTAAAAATGTGCCTAACATATACGGGTTTTTTTTAAGTGTGGTATTTGCGGGACGGTGATTAAATCTGGACAGTTTCACGGAAATATCTCATATCAGTTTGTCTATTTAGGTTAAAAGTGTTTCTGTGTAAAACCTGTAAGAAAAACAACATATTGCACAAACGGCTGAACACAGAGTAGGAAGTTTTATTATCAGTTAGCAGAAACATTCAATGAGTAATGAATTTCAAAAAAGGAAGAAAAAGCAGGAGCAGTTTAATGTTTGCTGGATTGTATCTTTATGTATTTGAATTGGTTTTATTTGAGCTGTTATAACACAACAGGGAAACTAAAAGCACATTTCATTTTAAATACCTGATTTGTTCTAATTTAGTGTTTGTCTGTACGGAGGAGGTAATGTTCAGGTCAGTGTTCAGGCAGCAGGAAATTAAAGAAAATTTTGGTCCACATCTCAGCGGGGCTGATGGTCCACTCAGCTCCAAGCTGTGTGGACATAAAACCAGCCCAGATCATCAACCTCCCACCTCTGTTCTATGAGGCAATGCACCAATATTCTGTCATTATCTGTGAATTGATGGACTTCAAAGCAAGCAAAGCTAAAAAAAAAAGTTCTGTATTGTTTTTACTCCTTTTAGACAGTTGAAAAAAAAATGTAGCTTTTATTATTTTTGATTTGGATGATTATGACAGATGGGTAAGAAAGAAAGACTAAAAAGCCACAAAGTATGCACAGTAAGATAAGATTGTCATTTTAACTGTATGTTCCAGTTTACTGTGTTTCTGAAGTCAAAAGTTCACGCAGCATTTCACCAGGATGTTTTAGATGCTACTTTTTCAGCAGGATCTGTCACTGTTCCACACTGCCAAGCTACCAAACGCAGGTCCAATGACCATGCAGGTCCTGTGCTTGACTGACCAGGAATCTGGCCCCAGAGACTCTGTGGAGTGTTGTTTACAGAACATTGACAGTAACCAGACCCAACTAGACCCTGTATTGATACAACAATTTATGCAAAGAGGAACCAAACTGAGTAATAGAAATGTATATTTTTCACAATGTTCTATTTGTTTTAGATTTATTCATTTTTTATAAAATAACTAAATATGAAAAGTAACCCATCCCATATTGATCAACAGTAACAATTTCTTCCCTAAAGTCATTGATGGCTATCAGTTCAGGAGGAGGGGATTTTTTTTTATGTTTGTTTTTTTTTTTTTCTCTTTATCTGATTTCATCTTAACAGTAAAATGTTAACTAGGAAGTATGGACTCTAAAGTTGTTCAAGAAGATTAAGATAGCACCTTTTTCCCAGAACAAAAACAGATTGGGCCTGATCTTCAAATAGGTTTGTGCATCTTAAAACACATGTAAACTAGCTTCTACACACAGAGGAGATCTTCAAATAAGGCGCACAGTGATTTTCAATCCCTCAGACAGTGCGTGCAATCCTTTTGCTTACTTGTTTGCCTCCCTTGTTTCATGGGTGGAGGAACTGCAAATTAAATATTTAACACGTGCAAAGCAGTTTTTCATATCTCAAACTCAATTGCGGCAACAGTTTTTTGGGTTGTTGTTGTTTTTTTTTAGCACATTTGAAAGTGAGGTGCAAACTCACAAGCAAAATATTTCTGCTGCCATCGTGGTCACAAAGGAGGTATTGGTACACCATTCCTCATGTTTTATGATATTTACTTTTTATAACTAACTGTTACTTTGGCTGTTGTTGTCTTTTGCTTGCAGGTCTTGAAAATAGGCTACCAATGTTAAGTGCACTTTAAATAGCATCTAGTATTATTTTCATGTCTTTGAAATAATTTTGCTTTTATTTACCTCTATCTCCATGGCTTAGAGCCTCATCTTTATTTTGTAGCCACTATCAGTGAGCAGAAAAAGCAATCTACTCAAAATAGTATATTATGTATTATATGATACTATATTTAAAGCAGCACATTATATTATAAGTGCGTTAGTTTTTCATTGAAAAAGTAATCTAAGTACTTTTCACATATATTTTTATATATACACACACCGATTGGCTGAAAAGTTCCTGGGATTTGTGAACACAGATTTTAAGCACAGGGATGAAGATTTATATGTCGGTTAGAAGCCTCTCTTATCTGAAGAAATTCCTCACATCACATCTCACCACCACCGGACAAACAGCTGGCTATCCATGTTTTCCTTTTTACTTCTTGTGCTAAACTGAATTCCCTTGCGTTGTTTATTAATTATTTCTATCATTATATAAAAAAGTGCTGCTGTGCTTTATTGTGGAAGAAGGAATCTTTTTTTTATTCTATTGCAAAGTATGTTTTATTTTTGCTAACTTATTAAGAAACCTTATTACTTCAGTTTCATACATATTTTTATGCGAGTTGAAGGTGAAAGTTCATAAGACATTTAGGGCCGGATCTATCAAAGGTTTGCGTGTATAAAAACGTGAGCTATTTCACTGCGCACGCTAAAAAATGTACAAACTGATCTATCAACAGCGCGCTAAAAGGATTTGGTCTTTAAAACGTGCTAAATAGCGCCTCTTATCCATTTAGTACTTTTTCTGCAATGAATATGCAATATGGGGCGTTTACACGCAAAAGTGCGTCTTGTGGGAGGAGAACGTGTAAATATATTAATTTAGCACTCGCAAATTGATTGATTAAACCTGAAAGCAATTTTGCTAACGGTATCTGACTACTACTACTACTGCATGCAAAATTGGATCTTGATAAATCCGGCCCTTAGTTTGCTTTATTACTCAAAACATAACCACATCCACATAAATATATGGTAACTCACTGGACTAACTAACCACACACAGATTAGTTTAATACTTCATTTTTTACACGTGTATTGTTTTTTTTAAATATTCAAATTCATTAATTTAAATTTGAATAAATAAATTGAAATCAAACATCTTATATTTTATAACAGAACTTCCAGTTTTATTTAAAGTTCAATATCAGGAACCTTATCAAATAGATTGATATTCTGGATCATAAAACCTTACTTTGAGCAGTAACTACTTTGATTGGGCAGTAACTTAGTCACTTCTTTTGATAAATGATTAGTAACTATAACTAGTTTCCTCTTTAAATAATTATCTTAACACTGTTTAAATTGGGCGGAACTAAACCGGTTAGTGTGTCTTAATGTTTTTGCATCAATCTTTATAGATAACCTGATGCATGCCCACTTATTGAACCTGCAAAATTCATATAAAATTGCACATTTAGAGACTATTATTTGTAATCCTTAAAGATCATATTTTTTAAGTTTAAGATTTTATGGTTTTTCTCAGGTGCCTCAGACGTCTGAATTTGACGGATGTTTTGAGCCATTTTTACATTCATCATTTTTTATTGTGCTTCATCTTTATGTTTTCCACCCACAGAACTGCCGCTCACTGGATGTTTTTTCTTTTTCGGACCATTCTCTGTAAACCCTAGAGATGGTTGTGTGTGACAATCCCAGTAGATCAGCAGTTTCTGAAATACTCAGACCAGCCCTTCTGGCACCAACAATCATGCCACATTCAAAGTCACTCAAATCACCTTTCTTCCCCATACTGATGCTCGGTTTGAACTGCAAGAGATTGTCTTGACCATGTCTACATGCCTAAATGCACTGAGTTGCCGCCATGTGATTGGCTGCTTAGAAATTAAGTGTTATCGAGCAGTTGGACAGGTGTACCTAATAAAGTGGCCGGTGAGTGTATATCTGTCTATAAATCCAGATGAAGCTAACCCATTACATAGATTACAGGCATGTCTTGAAGACATAAAAACCTGGATGCAGACAAAACAGACGTTATAGTCTCTGGACCAGTCTTTGAAGAAGAAGATTAGTGAGTCACTTCATTTGATTGGATTAGTCCATGCATTTGTTACTTCAAGGCTGGACTATTGTAATTCTTTATCATCAGGAAGTCAACAAACTGTAGTTAAAAGCCTTCAGCTGATCCAAAATGCTGAGTTCTGTTCCTGTTTGGCTGTGACGCCATCCTGGAGAGAAATATCAGCTGTGCTGCTGCCATCTACACCTTTGTTTTACAGTAGATGTGGGAGTTTCTCCCATTTTTCAGTGCAATCCTGATTCTCTGAATGTGACTAACTGTATGTGCTCCCTTCAATCCTCTGGCATGTGTTCTGCCTCAAGCAGATGCTTATATGCCTCAAGCATACTACAAGCATGGGATTGCTCATTGAGTCAATGAGTGTTGTGAACTGGCACTATATAAATAAAAAATATGGGTTATATTTCATTATTTAAGTTTGCAATTTTACAGATGCATAACCTTTAAACAATCTAATGTGATGTATTGTATCTTCATTCTAGAGCTGTATGTGGTTATTTTTAGATTTTGGGTTTACTTGTGTCTGTTTTGGGTGAGATGTTGCTGCATAAAGGGAGATGAGTTGGTGTAAGAGAAACAAGATAAGAGGTATTTTTGTATCTTTTTGTGAATGAATGAGCCATTAGTGTTAAGAAAACACTCAACACAACCTCCTCATATAAATCAAGCAAATTTCACTTTTTCGTATTTTTTTTTCTCTCTCTCTGAATTGAGTTTGATATATTTTGTAAATGTTAGAGTTAGGAAAGTTATACCTGCAGCATCTGGCTTCTGCTGCTGCTGCAGTTGTGTCTGACATTCTTCTCTGGCTCTCTCCATCTCCCAGACGAACCAGCAGTGAGAAAATCTCCCATTAACCTGTCAGACCGAGGAGGAAATACACATTAGGGACTTTAACACCAACATTAGCAATATTCATATTTCAGATCTCTGGAGTAAAGTTTATGTTTCTGAAAGTCAACTCTGGCTGGATTCTACAACTCAGGGAGGAAACGTATGATGGATGGGAGCTTAAAAAAAAACTCCCAATGAGCTCATTCTGCTCCTTTTTATTCCCAGTTGGAGCAACAAAATGATTAAATTTGTCAGTGTTGATCTCAGGGAGTAAGGGCAACACTATCCTGAGTTCATTCGGAAAAAAGAACTGGATAAACGAAAATGTATCTAATCTTGTGAGATAACAGAGTTTAACAGAAGTAATTAATTAAAGAGCAAAAATCTGGCCCCCAGTTTCATGGAAATATCTCATATCAGTTTGTCTTTTAGGTTAAACATGTTTCTGGGTAAAGACTGTGAGAAACACAACATATTGATCAAACTGCTGAAAATAGAGGATCCTTGTAATGTTTGATGAGGGCTTTTTTGTCATGCCTGCTTACACAGACAGAGCAGCCATTTACTTTAAAAAAAGAAGAAAACTGAGTAACTCCCTCTGGTACAAAGCTGAATTTCATAAAATAATGGCAAAAATAGGAAATAGCAGTCTGAAAGTAGAAGGCTGAAACCTGCAGCACTGTGGTGAAATACCAACACCTGACTGAGCCCACGTTCACACAGCAGGTCGAAATTCTTTAATTCGGATGCTTTTTTCTGTGCAAATATGTTTTTTTCCTCATGAACATTGATACGTCTGATATGCGACGGCCAGCAGACTCCAGTCTGAACGGTTCAGGTCATCGAAGTGAGCCGCAAGCGCAGAATAATATTAATTTAACTTTATTGATCTCATATAGGAGAAATTCATCTCTGCATTTAACCCATCCCCTCGGGGAGAAGTGGGCTGCCATCATGGGGTGCCCGGGGAGCAATGTGGGGTTAAGGGTCTTGCTCAGAGACTGAGAGTGGCAGTCTGTAGGAGTGGGTTTTGAACTCACAACCTCAGGATTCAAAGCTAGATGTTATAGAGCAGAAATAAAGTAACATCATAAAAAATATAGTGGATGCTGATGTCTTTTTTTAACCTTTTCATAACATGAGGACCCAAATTTGGTGTTGGGATCTGGAGGTCTGTCCACCTTTCTCCACCAGAGGGCGTTCTAGGTCTCCTGGAGCTGGAGCTGACTTCACCACGTGCGGCTCGTTTGCTCATCAGGAGACCAGTACATATGGAGGCGGAGAGCTACACTCCGACGCCAGAGTGTTTTGCCAGTTATGGTTAGCAAGCCTGAGCCAACCTGCCTGTCTGAATCTCTGACTTTCAGAAAACCTGACCCTGAACCTAATCTCTTTTTGTCCTCTCTGCTTCCCAGGTTAAACCTGCCTGAAACCTGATAATCTGGAAGAGTTTCTCTGTTGGAAATCTGTAAGTCTGATCTCTGAAGAACTCTGGAGAATCAAACCTGCCAAAGACCTGCCTGCCCACTCTCAGAAGAATCTGTAAGAGAAACTCAAACCTGTCCCTGTAAACTCTCTAGCCAAGCTCTGCCTCCGCCAAGCCCTCTGCCTGCCGACAGCCTCTGGACCCTCCTGGTTCCCCCTCTCTGCTGCTCTGCTCAAACCTCAGATCAGGTACAAACCTGCATTCACTCATCTTGCAAATTACCTGGACGTCAGCTAACCACTCTCTCAAACCTCTCTGCAGTAAACCCAGTCGTGACCAATCCTGGATCTGATAACCCCCTGGATCTGTACATTTATTATTGTGCCTTGTTCAATAAACTGTTGAACTTTTTCCCTGAGTCCGTGTGTTCTGCATGTGGGTTAGAAACCTTAAACCTATCATGACATTGGGGTCCTCAGCACTCGCCCCAAGATGGTTTTTAGACCTGTAACATATTCTCTGGGGTCTTGCCTTTATTTTGATACCAAAACAATTAAAATAAACTCTGTAGTTCTTGAGATATATTTAATTCATTTTGGGAATGTTATTTTCAAGCATATTTCTCGAAAACAGGCCTATTGTCCAAGAGGTTCTTGGGTAATTTGAGCCAACAATATCATGACCACAACATTAAAGAAAGGTAAGAAAAGCAAAATGGGACAACTCCTAACGAGATGCTACTGTTTATATGAATGAGCAGTGGGATCGATCACAAAGCCATAAAAGTCTGATAAAATGGGACCAGCGATGAAGAGGCTGACATCAGGTCTTTTTAAGGGAGTGAAAAGAACAGTGTTGGGCTACTCTGAGTGCTGTGAAAAAGTGGGAAATGAGTGCCACATTGGGAAAATCTACCTTTAGCCAGAACCAAGGCCTCAGACTAGGAGGAGATGATCATCATCACTGCTGCTTTGCACTGAAGCCTAAGGTTAAGATGACTTCTTTATGGTCGATGGCTGAACAGGTTGGGGCGGAGTTACTGGGAAATGGAGAGCTTGAACATTTTCTTCTAAACCAAATGGAAGAACAATTTGGAAACCACTGAATTGAGGTCACCTCGTTAGCAGCAGCTACGCAGACGTTACTGGTTAACGTCAGCGTTTTGTCAGGCTGCTGATAAACGGCTGCCACCTTCGTATCGTACCCGTGTGTGTCCTGGTACAGCTGATGGTTACCAAGGGCACACTCAAACACAGAGTACACAAACCAACAGAGCTTACAATATGGATGAAAGGAAAAACTCTCCAACGGAACGAGTTCACACAGCAAACCTGACTCCATTGATGAAGTGAGTGTATGCCAGTGTGCTGGGAGGTCTGTTTACACAGAGATATACTGCCAACATGTCAGAGCTGTCAGACAGTTTATAACTCACATATTTCTTTTGCTTAACTAACTTCCTGAAGGAACTCAGGTCGTGTTTAACCAAACTATTCATCTCAACCTGTTAAAAGTAAAAACTGAACACATTTACCTCATTGGTTGTTCTCTATCTGCACTTATCACTCTGTGTTTTGTTTTGTTTTACAGAGCAATTAAGGCTTTTGTTTCACTGTTTATCTGATATATAAACATCATAATATAAGCCAGTTTGAAGAAAAATGACATGAGAAACATGCTTTTGTTGCATTTCTCAGTGGGAAAATCAGAAGAGTAACACTGGGAGCATATGTGGGATTTCTAAACCACAAGGGCTTCATTCTCATCTTTGTCAATTAATAAAAAACTGAAAATAGATACAAACCATTGTGCTAATCAAACAAGAACTAAAGCAACTTATCTGCTGAACTAAACAGATTGTTTCTTTTTTATCCACGTTTTTAATCCTGAATCTTTGGGAAAATAATCAGCTTTAGCTCTGCTCTAAAAAGAATAAACACTCATCAATTCTGAGTATCTGCACTGCATTTTAGTGGTGCATGAATAACACCTCATCAACATCTTTCTCCTAATCTGATCTCACATAGTGGGGTCATCCTGTGATCCAAGCTTTAAAGTTCCTCTTGCAAGAATTTGACTCTGAGATCCTGACAGTAGATCAACATCAATCACATATTTTCTTAATAATTAAATCTTTACATGTTAATAATTTACTGGAAGCTGAAACTATATAAAAATACGTAAAAGTTTCTCACAATAAGTGTATTTCTCATTAATTTGAGCTGGTAAAGAGGTGATCTGCCACTCTAATGAGCATTTTTTTTACTTTTAAAATAAAATAATTAGATATTATGCACTTCAAATAGGACTAATACTTTTTTTTCTTTATTTATAAAAAATAACTCCCTTAGATTTCAATTTTTTGCAATGAAAAGAAAACCAAAAGTCCAAATTACAATCAACCAGTCATCAGTTTTAACATGGTAGAGTCACCTGTGATTGATGGAACAATTAAATAAGCATTTGGGAAGCCTAAGTACTGACTAGAAAGCTGACACGTTAAAGGTGTTACTGCAGTCCAAAGGACACGGTGGCTCGCTCTATAGTACAGAGGCTGACACATCATCCAAGTCCTATGAAATCAATGACTAGAATCTGTCTGTAGGAATTAACTGAGCTGTCTATGTAAAGTCCATTTTCTCTGTATAGATTACATTTTTCTTTGGGAATTAAGATGACGAATTGGTTCTATACATTAAATTTAATTTAATTTAATCATGGAGAGGGAATATTTCTCTAAAAGATTTGAAGGGTTATATCAGTTTCATTTCTTTTTATATTTCTATTGTGTTATTAAAATTCTTACTTCTGTGTTTTTAAGTAGATAATTTAAAGATCTGTCCAGGGACAACAGATGGAAAATGGCCTCTTGGTTAATTCTTGCAGCAATGCTAATTAATGTACACTGTCCCTGTCAAATAAATGAATAAAACGAAAATAAAATGAATATTTCTTACATTATGGAGCCAGATATTTGTCACAGGGAATATCAATCCGCTTGAATCTATAAAATACGTAAAGATAAGCTAAGAGCATCTGGTTTTGTTCCAGTCTCAGGTTTGATCCAGCAGGAGCCCTGTAGGCTGACATCAAACATGCTCTTTCTGAGGACATAGGAAAAAATGCAGAAGTCCAACCATCATGGGCAAGTTTCTGATTCACTGAATCACTAAGTATTTTAAATTTAAACAGAGGACGTCTGAGTAAAAAAAAAAAAAAATTTTATATATATATATATATATATATATATATATATATATATATATATATATATATATATATATATATATATATATATATATATATATATATATATATATATATATATATATATATAAATTCATAATGCTGTTTTTTAACAGTCCAATATTCCAAGTCTATCATTTTCTCCAGTAAGAACAAAACTTATCAAGTTTTATTTAATTTTATTCATTTGGAACAGGACGTAGAATGTCCCTAAAGCACAAGGGTTTATATATTGAACACTTGTTAAGTTTTCAAGGCTTTACTCACCTCTTAAATAAACCTTACATAGGTGGTCAAATGTACTCAAGCCCTACGTAAAAGTCATAGCGATGACTCAGTGATAATATTTCATAGCCTCTTGTGGTGCTATGCAGACTCTCTGTCTACACTGATGAAGTTTAATTTACTTTGGGAAACTGATGCTGGGACACTTTCTGCTTTGGTCTTTCTTCTAAGTGGTTTATTCAATAAATACACAAGACCACCCTGATATACAGAGAAATCCTTCCCAGAAATTCAGGGAATTATTTACAGACAGAAAAATACTGTCTTCATGCATTTTACAAGTTTATAGATTTCCTCTTTAATGTTAATGCACAAGGTTTGCAGTTTTTCTAAATTGACTTCTCTGTGTCCTTTCAATGGTGAATTTAATAATTATTCTGCTAATTATAACAAAGATTTCAAGGAATTTATAACCTGTGAAGTTGAAGAACAAAAGCAAAAATCCTTCAAATGAATTCAATTATAGTGGCAGCAGTGTTACTTCATTCCTCTGTATAAAAATAAATCAGAAAGCAACATTTAATCGACCCGACTCTAACCCACCCAGAAAACATTGATTCTGGTGGCTTGCTGCTCCAATGATGTCTAGACCTCTTAGTAAAAATAAATGTCATCATCCCACACAGAGACGACATGTCGACAAAGTCTACAGACCACATTTGAAAAACTTTGCTGCTAATCTTTTGCTGGTTTAACAAGTTAAACACGACTCCAACAACATAACAGGGCCTTAAAGTCATTTTTGATGGCAGAATGTGTAGAACTTTGCCATATTATCTAAGCTCTTTAGATGGATTAGGGATTCCTCTTCCGATACAAATATTAGGGCATTTTATACTTTTTTTTTCTTAAGGAACAACAATAAGTAGAGCATGTTAGTGAACGGCAGACTTCCATTTGCTGCAGTTACAGCTGCAGGTTCTTTGGGGTTTATTTCTATCTGCTTTGCTTGCAAATCTCTGGGGAAATATTTGCCCCCCCAAAGCTAACTGGCCCAGACTTTGACTAGACCATTCTAACACATGAATATGCATTGATCTCTGCTACTATATTACAGCTCTGGATGCATGTCCAGAGTGTTTGTCCTGCTGGAAATGGAACCTCCACCCCAGTCCTCTGTCTTCTGCAGCTTCTGCCTCATGCTTTGATTGTATTTATTTTGCCTATATGTATTTTTTTATGGTGCTGCTTTGCATTCATTGCCTCATATTGTACAGCATTATGTGATGCTTGTCTGAGAAAGATGTTATATAAATAAACCTTACTTACTTACTTCTCACAGGTTTATCTTCCAGGATTGTCCTGAATTTGCCTCCATTCATCTTCCCACCAATTGCGGCCAGATTTAATGTAAATTTGGAAGAAGACTTTTCCCATGGCATGATGCTTCAACCTCCATGCTTAACCATGGGGCTGATCTGTCCAGTAATTGTTAATGTTTCACCTCTTATTAATTTAAGGTGATCTCATCTTTGTTGAAAAATTGCTAGAAGATTTCCCATTTTTTTCCTTTCAGCAAGTTTTTCCATCTCTGCTGCTGCATTAGGGTCACATTTAAAGAGATTCTTCGTTCTCCTGGAAATCCATCTAAATATTTTGAAACCACGGATCATCTTCATTTTGTTGGTTTGAAATACGTAGAAAGTACCACAATATCCTCTAAATAGGGTGGGGGGAGGGGGGTTAAATACCTTTTCTATGTATTTTAGGTGTAAAAATCTATATTAGTAAAAATTAATTACTATACTTTATAATTTGTGTTGATAAAAAAAATCAGATATGAGCTAAAGATCATGAAAATAGTTCAGTAACAAAATGGGAATAAACTTTATAAAATCAGCAAATCTTCCAATAGAAGCAGGTAGTTCTGCATTTAATCAAATCAGCCATTAATGTGCAAATTAAGACCGTAACTTTACTCCACATCCAACCAACTTTTCTGCTTCCAATTTAACCTAAACAGTCGCAGTTTCTCTGTCTTGAGTGGATTTCTGGACAGCTGACATCCTCTCAGATGCATTTACTAAAACCAGAAACCTAACATCTCCTAAAACTGTCTCCTGTTGCATTCAAACCCCGGAAGGAAGAAACAAAAAAAGGCTTTTAGTTTTCCAGAATTTAGCCAAATGTGAACTTTACACGCAAGAAGAAAAGAAAGTGGATCTGCTCTTATCTGCCAGGTCCAGGAAGAAATGCAGTGGAGCAAAGAAGCTGGTTTACTAGACCTGGCTTCTTCTTGCAGTGATAAACAAAAAGAGATGATTTACAGTTTGCATTTTACAAGATGTATAATACATTCATAAATAAAGACAGTTTCAAACAGAAGATCTATTTAAAAAATGGAAAAGTTGGTAAAAAAAAAAAAACAACTTTAAAAGTAAGACAACGGTTAACTATTCTGCAGGAAATTCTTGATATTTTTAAAGATCTCCATATTCTAAAGTTGGTTTAAGAGCAGCTGATGAGGACTGACCGTGAGGATGAGGGTGAATCCGAGCAGCAGAGCAGTGAGTCGGTGCGTAAAGGACATGGTGACCTCCCATCCACCTGCAGGGCAGCTCTGCTCACCTGGCTGTCATCCTCAGCTGACTGACAGCTGGCTGATTTCCTCTAAGGCTGATCCTCTGTGCTCAGACCCCTGCCTTTAAATCCTGCTCCACCTTTACGCGCAGCTTCAACGCATCTAGATCCAGCAGATCTGGATCACTTATTGCACAGAGGAGATAAAGTGACGCTATCGTGCATAAAGTTGCGAAGAAGCGATATGATGAAGCCTCTGTGGTTCCGGTTCACCTTCTGCATTTATTGCGCGTCACAGATAAATGGCCCCTAGGGCCGCCCAGGGCACATGAGCGCTCTGCTCCCTCTGCTTTAGGAGCAGACAGATCCCAGCCTCTGGGACCAAAGCGGCAACATACTGTACTGACGCCAAAGGACAACAGCGACCTCTTGTGGTGCTTCCTTCTAACAGCAGCGCGATGAGGTTCTTCACATCCTTTAGAAATGCAGAGCTGCTGCAGAAAAACGCAACTTAGAGCTACAACTGCAGAAAAAAAAATTGTTTTAGTGAACTGAATGAACATGAAAAAAATTAAAAGAAATATTTTTGGATTGATATGTGTAGCTTTATTGTGACATCCAGGGGCAGTTCTAGACAGGGGCCAATGGGGGCCAGTGCCCCTTTAGGTCATATTCTGGCTCCTGTACTGAAGACATAATACTGAAAGAACTTCTAATGATGATCTAATGAGTGCTGAAACAGACATTGTTACTGATAGGTCCTCTGGATCCACAGGCGTAACTTAGTGAAGGACTGGTGTGATCATGTCCCCTTGGCCTGATGGGGACGGTCGCCACCAATCATTTCCGCTTTTTCCCCCTTTCTGTGGATTTACTTTAGCCAAAGGTAACAGATGTTGGGTGCAGTTAACTATGTTCAGAGTGTTTTCAGTCAGTGTATTTTTTCCTCCTTCGAGCTGCTCGTGTGTCCCGCCTCTCGCTGAAATATTATCAGATCTATCACTTTGGGACATCTGATTTGCGGTCGCATTTCACTGCCTACATAGTAGCTACGTGGTTCAAGGAGAGACACACAGCAGCACTCAGTGAATTTAACTGGCCGCTACTTTGACATATGTTTAAGTAAAAATTAGGAGATGGTTGGTTAAAAAGCTAAAAATGGCAACAGATTGTAAGTTTATACAAGTTAGTATTATAATGCAGGAAGCTTGGGGAAAATATAGTTTAAATGTTGTGTTCTACTTCAATTGTTAAAAAAAAAGCTGGGCTTCTCAGAAGACCATGATGACTGACAATTGCAGGTTAAAATTAACATGTTTTCTTATTGTGCACAAAGAATCAGACGGCAGAGATTCTACATATCTTGAAATGTAGTTTCTGGCATCATTATATTAGTAAAGAGGTTCATACATCTTTTTAAACAGAGCACAGAGAGAAGTAGGGAGAGCTGCAGATTTAAAGGGGAAACAGATTGTAGTGTAGTTCAACTATTCATCCTAGTTAAATAAATGGAGATCGATGGATTTCACTCAGTCGGCACATTTATTCATATCTTTGCAAAGAGAGAACAGTTCATCATACAGCCCTAACGGCACAGCATTCTGCCCTGTTCTGCATGAGCAGCACTCGTTCCCCCTTACTCACAATAATGGAAAAATAGTCAGAGTTAAAACAAATTACAGACACTTTGGTTAAACAGTATCATGTTATGAATAAACCTTGAGAAAGAACCTGGTTTGTTATGGGAAGAAGCTATGTCTGGTCTACAAACACCATCCTGCAGAGAATGGTGTGGCCTTCAAGGTGACACAGACTGAGTAAAAACTTTTATAGTGAGTAAATAGGATAAATTAATATATGAAATAAGAGAAATATTATTTTTTCCACACAAAAAAAAAAACAAAAAACAGATTTACAGGGATATCCCCAAGTTTACCAGAAAGTTTTCAGGGAAAAAAAAATTACTATATTTATAATGAAGCATATCCATATTTTTCTAGATGGATGGAATTGAAATTGTTCTTCTAGGGATGCATGATATATTGATTTTGGCATCGGAATCAACCGTTATATTTTTCTTATACATTAATGTTTTGGGGCCCTATGTGATGCATTAAAAGGCATCTCTCTAACTGTCTATAAATATAAATATCAGTGTATTATAGTTCTCTTGTGTTCTCAATAATAGAAAAGCATTCAATAAATATATGATTGAGCTCATTTTTGGAAAATATAAAAACCTACTGAAAGCGTTCAGGTGGAGTAACTGTAGGTCATCACCCACCCCATGAGTGTCCCCACCAATTTTTATTACAAAGTTACACCTTTCTTTAGATCTATTTCATTTTTTTCTTTAAAAATTCTGTTTTACTAATTATTAAAAAAAAAATTGGGTGATAGTTTCAGTGGTATTGAGATAGGATCCCAGTTTTCATCTGCTAATTGCTCTAATCTTTAAAGCTGAATTTATCAGGTGTTCTTGAGTCTAATTCAGATTTGATAGAAAATAGTAATTTTAAATTAAATTAAGTCAAAAATATGTAAAATTCCTAAATAAGAGACAGAATTTAATTAAACCAAACTGAAGAGAAATTTTACTTCATGCAGCTCTTAATATATTTGAAAAATATCCCTTTCCCTTGTTTTTTATTTCAAGCTTTTCTGTGCCCCCATGAAGACACGCTGGCCCCCTCCTGGCCCCCTGGTACATTTGGTCTAGAACCGCCACTGGTGACACCTTATGTTTAATCTTCTTTAGACATTATTCTTTATTTAAATGATCAATTTCAGTCAGTCACTGATAAACATTAATTTAAAAAGGCCTCTTAATGAACCCACCATGGAGACACTATTTTTATTAAAGGTTTTCTAATAAAACATTTTTCAATTAGAACTTTTTTGGTGAGTTTAATTAATTTATTCTGATCCTGATATAGCAAATTTCTTCCATGCGTTCCAGCTCTAAATCTCTAAGGACCCTTATTTTCTCCCAGTATCTTTATAGTAGGGGATGTTTCTTATCAGACATATTTTATTGAGCTATTTCAAAGACAGAATATTCTTTACCATTCAGTTATTTATCAACTCTGGATGCAGACAGAGCAGGACTTCTAATACATGCATAACAAATTCAAAATCCACCAGGGTAGATTTGATGGTGTCTATAACGATACATGTGCTGGTCTCTGTTTACAGAGCTTTATGATCGCCTTTAAAGTTTCTATCTATACCCTGAAGATTATGTAGCTGGAAGGTATGATGAGTTTTGAGCTAAAAGTTTAAATAAAAAAATAAAATAAAAAAAGCAAATACCACGACCTGACCAAAAATACTTCAACAACAAAAAATATTTGAAAAGTTTAACTTATTTGTATTTTCCAAAGTGTCAGCCATAATCTTCTTAAATTAGGAGAGTTTTTATATTTTAATTGATCATCTTGCCAATTATCTTTTGCCATGTGCACAATATTAATTATGCTAATTAAGGATATTTAGAATGATTATAATAACTCTTTAAAACATACAATCAATGCTGAATCTGGTTCTCAGTTTAACTAAAATGGTAACTATTGTTGACAGCAGAACGTCAACATCAGAACAATAACTGGTATTTATGGCAAAATAAAAACCTCTCAACCTGCAATATATGTCATTCTGTCATTTTAGCATCATTTGAAAGCTAATGATGATAATCAGCACAGAACCATAGCAGTATTTAAATGGCATTTGCACAAAATTAATAATGAAGCCAGCTCTGCTAGTTACTTAGCCTAATTTCATTGGTTAAAATGATGCAGTGCTTGATCTTTATTTATTCACTGGATTGCTGAAAGGCCATTGGTACTGCATGAAGCTGTAAGGTCACCGGCCCACATATTGGTACTCCATAGTTAGACAGATTGTATTGTAAACAATATGTGCGCTACAGCATAGAACAACGATGATGCTCACATTATCAGTGCATTCAAAACTCTGCAGCTAGGATCCTGATGATGGGGCAGAAACATGAGCACATTACCTCCATTCTCCAGTCATTACACTGGTTTCCCATCTCCACCAGGATTGCGTGCAATGTTTCCCTTCTAACACATCAATTCTTCTATGGACATGTAGCTGCTCTATCTATATCTAATCTACTTAAACGACACCAACGTTTTTTGAAGTCTAAAAAATCTTGTGTTCATATTGCTATTGCCTTTCCTTGCCAATCAGTTCCAATCTAACTCAGTTTTGCGATTATAAAAAAATCCATTCTGCACTGCCCATCACTTTAATTACATTGATAATTTAGCATGGTAGTAAATTGTGGAGCTCGATAATCATAGAATAATAATAGAATAACGTCATATGATTTTATTACACTTAGCACTGAAATAATATCAATATCAATGATGATAGACACCTGATCAACATAAACAGGTCTGATAAGATAATATTTTCAAAAATCTGTGCCAGAACTGCACAGCATTCTGGGGAATGTAGGCAGAGGAAAGGATTTATCCTCTCAGAGCCAAACTGAGTAAGGTTGCATTTAGAAAAGGTCCTAAATTATTCTGGTCCTGAATTGATCAATATCAACTTGTATGGAAGGCTTATGTTGTGATAAATATTTCAGCCTTATGTGGACTATTTACTGAGGTTAGATTGTGGTCAAACTAAGTTACTAACAACTACGGTAAATGATCTGCTGCACCTCATAATTTTCCTGAACCAATGAGGCACAGATCTTTATATGCTGCAGATTATAGTTGCTGTAAATATATGAAAATAGCTACACCTGCTATGAACTCTGGACACACAATAATAAAGGGACAATTAGAAATCAAACAACTGATATGATTTAATCACTAAAAAAAGCAGAACTCTATACCTAAAATTGTTCATGTTTTTTTTTTTAATAAAGCATTGTTTTTTAAAGTTTCAGTTACCGGAAATTCACCTGTTTGGGGATAAAAATTAAGCCTCAATCTTATCATTCACATTTTTCAGTAAACCAAACTTTCAACCTACATATATATTTCTGCTATCATTTATTCAACCTTTTTTTATTTTAATCTGTAATATTTCCAGTAAATTCCAGAAAAATAAACTGAGCTATAATGGGATACTAGTATCATCTAATACTAAACTGGCTACAGTGTTATTTTTTTCCTTTATATATCTAAAATCTGATTTAAAGGACGACTGTTTAGTTTGCTTTTCCAGAAATAAGGTCATGATTCATTATTAAATGGTAAATATCACCCATGATCCTTCACTGTAGCATAAACACACATAAGAGCAAAATAAATTAGCTCAGTCTGAGTTTTAGCCAATCAAAGCACTTTATTGCACTGTATAGTGTGACAGGGAGCCGGTAGCAGGCTCTTATAAAAGTGTCATTTCCTCTTTTCATCATGTGTACAAAACAGGTCACACACACACTTTTACCGTACAAAATCAACACTATTTACATACAACACACACACACATACATACGTGCAGTCTCCCTCCCATTCAGCCCTGAACACAGACGAGTCCTTCTGGTATCTGATGGGACGCGGTCGCTACGCTGCTACCAACAAACCAAACAAACCTCTGATATGCATAATTTTTTCCCTCTGGATGATGTGAAACGAAAAGCAATGAGATAATGTCACATTATTTACCCGCAGGTCTGTAAACCACATTTTTCCAAACATCGACTCAACTCCGCCTGCAGCGTCGGCAGGACTCCCAGGATAAACAGATATTTATTTAAACTCTTTATAGATTTATTTCATCATCTGTTAAATCTTCTTTAACCTCAGGAAATGTTTGAGTCAGTGCACATCAGACGATAGCTCCCAGGATGTTCTTTACTGAGGATTCCTGCTGAAAAAAAAAAACTATAAGAAGTTCAATTATTATTAATTTTAGATGACATTTTCTAAGAACTAGAAAATGTTTGAATGACTTTGAGACATTAATGAAAAGAATTAATTACTAACATTTGAACTTTAATTGTAACTGCTAAACAATTAAACTGAATATTTATATGGATTAAATTAAAAACCCTGTGACTCATATTAATTAAATGTTTTCTTTTTCTTAAACTTTGACTTTATTCTTACAGGCTGATTGGACTCGGTAAAAGTTAAATATCTGCTTACATTTCCAGGCAGAAGATATGTTTTGCTAAATACTGGTAATGGATTACATTCAATAACTATAATTTAAAAACTATATAAATGTTCCCACTGTGGGAAAATATAATATATGTATAATAAATCCCTCAATTTTATATTTATTCTCCATTTGACCTCAAAGGTTCAGTCTGTGGGGTGTATTGCCATCTAGTGGCACAGACTGCAAACTGCAGGCAGTATTCAAAGAGCAGGTGTTCTTTTTTGTCCTTTTCAGGCCACTGTAGAAGCATTTTGATATGGTTTACTGAAAGGGAAGGGTAATAATTAAATATATAACATATATTTTAAATATTTCCAGGTTTATTCATTTAAAACGATGATACTTAATAAACCCATCTGGGTCATTAGGTATCATCAAAATGGTGTCAGGAATCCATAGAGCCAGTAAAGAACAACCTTTGGATTATTATTGCTACAACAGGAGCTTTTCTATGTAAACTTCATTTTCTCCTTCATCCCAACAGTTTCCAGATGTTTCTGCCTGGATATACTTTAACATCCAAGCTGCAGCTATTTTATTTATTTTAAAGTAATAAAAGCAAAAACTATTTAAATTAGCTTTAGCTCATATTTTGTTTAATCATTTATAATGTCCTCATCTTCTGAGGAATCAAGTTCATTGCTCAGATGTAAAACCTCTGCAGTAACATATGGATGCTGAAGATAAACTTTATTTTAAATAATGATAATAATTCTATTTCTGTTATATTCACACAGTGCACTTTGCTCAGCGATATTTTTGGTGCTTTAGGACTGAATTTATTCATATAAAGAAATGATATTAGTGTACCCTGCAAAAACAATCTAGAAATAAGTCAATATTTCTTATATTAAGTGTATTTACCCTTAATTTGAGTAGGTTAATAAGATGATCTGCCAATGCAATGAGTATTTTACTCTTAAAATAAGATATTAGATAATATACAGTGGAAATAAGACAATGCAATTGTTTTTCTCATCTTAAATGTAAATCATCTTGTTCCATTGGCGAAGTGTCTCTCACCTCCTCAATTCAAGAAAGAAATCACTTAATTTAAGAAAAATATACGTTTTTTTTTTTTGCAGTGTATCTGTTGAAATATGCAGCATTTTTTTCGACCACTTTTAGACTTTTTTCCCCCTTTACTTTTGAGACAGGAAGAAAAATCACTGAAAACGGGAAAAAAACAAGTTTTTGTTCAATATTTTTCAAATAGACAAAAGAAAGCTGCGGCCGATTCACACAGTTGTTTCCCCCCCCCCCCCCACAGGTTAAAAGGTTCTTTGATCTTCTTAGAATAAAATCTGCGATTTTAAAAGGACAGAAAACGTTCCTGTCGCACATCGACACAGACAGGTCAACACACACACACACACACACACAGACACACACACACACACACTCCCACACAGTCAGGGTGCGGGTGGAGAGAGCTGCATTTAGGGGCTACTACACCTCGCTGTGTTTTAGTTCCTCTCCATATAGATCATTATGTTTATATACAGTATTTATAGTTTGTACAATAATCTGATGCCCCATGACGTTTGAATTGAAACAGAACCACAGATCCAAGGATTTTCCAGTAATGGTCGGTCTCTTTCGGTTGTTTAGTACTTCTGAAAGACGGCGTGTCGCCCTGAACACAGTGTTCCTCTAAGGCTTCCTATTGGTCACGGGATCGAGCGAGGGTTTAAAAACGGTCAGTCTGGGAGCTGAAATCGATCGACTGGAATGACACGACCTGAAAGAAAACGGACGACTGCAGAACACATCAAATAAATGCTGAAAAATACAGTACATGTGGATTTCTGGGGAATGAAGGAACGACGGCGGCGATACGAGCAGCGCTCAGACCCATGCGCTCTCTCTCTCACAGGCAGCCAGGCTACATGTTGTAGGCCACGTAGATGGGGTCCAGCTGGTCTTGGAGGAAGCCGTCGCGGAGGTGCATGCGCTGCTTCTCGCCACGGGAGTTGATGGGGATGACGCCGACGTCCGTCACCACGACGACACCCACGATCAGGTAGTGCTCCTCCAGCACGGCCTTGGTCACCATAGGAACCAGGTCCAGGGCTTCCTGCTCAGAGCCCTCCAGCTCCACCACCACCACCAGCAGGTTGGTCCAGGTGAAGACGGCGCTGATGGAGAGACAGACACGGGTTTGGGTCGAGCTGAGGTTGCAGCGTGAGGTAAGAAAAAGGCGAAACTTTAAAGGAGAATTCCGGTTTTTAACACTTTTAGCCCATTTTCTGTAGTGTCCAGGATGAAATCGAATGATCGACACCAAAATGTTGACAATTGCTCCTGTCTCTGCTTTTTGGGTCATTGAGAATCCACCCCTGGCTGCTTCAGAATGGCTTCCATAGAGCATGTCCGATAATGTCCTTAAAACAACCTTAAACGTTGTTTTTTTAAAATATGCTACTCACCGGGTCGTCAGCGCTGTTCAATGACGTTCCAAAAAAAGTTTAGTAAAGAAAAACCGTTCCTGTAGTGTTTTATTTAGCATTTTGTAAATCCCATTGAGTTCTGTTGGAATAGTCAATATTCCGCTGCCACCGGAAACGGAAATGGGGCCTGTTTACACAGTTGTAGTCTTTTCGCGTCACTCTGTGTACTCCGACGTCGAGGTGCTAATGTCTCTGTTAAACACTTTAAAAAACTCTGAAAATGGAATACGAAAGGTGGATTCTTGATTCTCGACGTCGGAGTACACAGAGTGAAGCGAAAAGACTACAACTGTGTAAACAGGCCCCATTTCCGTTTCCGGTGGCAGGGGAATATTGACTATTCCAACAGAACTCAATGGGATTTACAAAATGCTAAATAAAACACTACAGGAACGTTTTTTCTTTACGAAACTTTTTTTGGAACGTCATTGAACAGCGCTGACGACCCGGTGAGTAGCATATTAAAAAAAAAGAACGTTTAAGGTTGTTTTAAGGACAGTATCGGACATGCACTATGGAAGCCATTCTGAAGCAGCCAGGGGTGGATTCTAAATGAGCCAAAAAGCAGAGACAGGACCAATTGTCAACATTTTGGTGTCGATCATTCGATTTCATCCTGGACACTACAGAAAATGGGCTAAAAGTGTTAAAAACCGAACTTCTCCTTTAACCTTTTCAGGTTTCATGTTTGAACTGTTGCAGCTTTCTGCAGTACCTGGTAGGTTCAACTCAGAAAAAGATTCCCTGACGCTGTAGAGCCAGAGCTAAAGAATCCATCAATGAATGAATGACAGTAGTGGTTCACACTAAAATAACTGAACTAAACTATTTCAATCGTCTCAAAATAGGTGCTTTTGTCAGTGGGACACAGCTCAGCATAAAGGACATGAGGTCATGTAAGAAAGGATCTGCCTAAAACCTAGAAATGAAATGGATTTCATCATATTAGCTTCAGATAACCTGAAACAAGCCTTTTTTATAGCAACAGACAGCATCTCTGCTATCTAGTGATAGCAGAGATGCTGTCTGATTTATTTTTAATGATCTCATCATTATGAGATAACAAAGGAAAAAACAGCTCAATTTCCTCCATGATAACAATGTTACTATAGTAGATCCAAAATAATATAACCTTCAGCCCAGTGATGTAAATACAAAAGTACCAGGACCTTATCTGAAGAATTAGAGATTTAAATGTTTTTTGCAAAAAAACAGCTTTATTATCTCATTATTTTGATATTCCCGTCTGATGCTCAACAGTTTCCTTGTTTCTATCTCGGGTTTACGAGATATTTGGCTTTTTTCAAATTTTTTTTTCTCAACCTGAGAAGGATCTAAAGCTCGTTCTGCAGAGATTGGTCACCTTGAATCGATGTCTTGAGCTGATTTTGTTTGTTCAGGATTTGATGACATCTTGATTTTACAAATCATTTGGTCCTTCTGATAGAATTTAAAGCCCTTTAGCTTTTATTGGGATCCCTGAAAATCTGAACACACCAAAGCTTTCAGGTTAATGGAATTAAATATACCCAGATGTTAACATCTGGTTTACATTGAAAACATCCAGTTTATGGCCGATTATAGAATCTGTTTCAGTAACATTATTGTTATTTGCTTAGAAATGATTCCCTTTTTTTGATCATTTATATTTAAAATGCTTCCATCTATCTTGAGGTGCCTCATATGATCACATCTCACCAGGCTGTTAGAAAGTGCTCCCTGGTGCAGATGAACCTACCACTCCATGATGCTCTTGTGCGCGCGGATGACGGAGGTCTCGATGTCTATGGGATGGTACCGCATCCCCCGCAGCTCCATGGCCTCCTCCAGAGCTCCGACCACAAACAGAGCATCGTGCCTCTCTGCTCAGAAAACAACCACAAACACACGGTCAGTCCTGCCGTTGAAACGTATAGCTAGCAGAGCAGATCAGAGACGAGGTCACCTCCGTTGGCATCAGTGAGCTCGGTGCGGCGCAGGAAGCCCAGGTAGCCCGTCCTGGCCCAGACCGTCTGAGTGTCCCCGAAGCTGAGCCTGGAGCTGAAGTGGTCCGACTGGAGGACCTCCTCGCCGTAACCGCTGTAGTAACCGCTGCCGTTATGAGCGCTGTGAACCCAGATCTGCAGACAAACACGGAGCAACAATTAACGTCTGTCTTTCTATCAGAAGGCAGGATACAACAGACAGAGGAGCAGTGGAGACCCAGAGGAGCGTACAGACCTCTCCGAGATGGGAGTCTCCCAGCGGTCCTTTGGTCTCCGGGTTGGCGATGATGATACGAACTCCTGGCAGGATCTGAGAGAATAGAAACACCTCTTTAGCTGTTTTTGCTTTCTTTTCTAGGTCGTTAGATTAGTGATGAATTCGTTTCCAGAGAAAAGATGCTCCTAACATGTTTGTTGTTCTGCTGAGAAGATTTTTCCTTTGTTAGCATTTCAGCTTCATTTTGTCCGTTTCACTGCTAAAGTCATGGTCCTGTTTGAATGGAAGGCCTCTATCGCATTGAGGCTGATGAGAGGATCGACCATAGAATACTTCCTGTTGTCTTTCAGTCCCACAAGCAGAATATTCTTTCCGTTCTCCACGGAGGAAGGCTCCTCCTGGACTCAGAGCTGCAGTCAGCTCTGAGTCACTGGGTGTAGGAGGACGCCCAGTGAAGAGGAGCAGAAATAGTCCACGTATCAGGCTGTCATTCATCTATTCATCGCAGGGCTGGCAGCGCTAATTTGGTTGTTTACCTCAGATCTTTTTATCGAATTTCTGTAACTTTGGACCGAGGCAAACTTCTCACCAAACTTTAATTTAAATTAGGATATAGAGTCACGACTCATTTCTCACCTGGAGGAGAATCTAATATTAGTCCCTATAATGAGGGTTAATGTTTTAACTCACCTTCCCAGACTCCATCAGCGGCAGACTGTGGGGCGACCCTCTCTCTACCAACCGAACCCTGACGGAGAATAAAGCGGTTCAGAGTTAAAGCTGCTGGCAGACAAACCACTGAAGTAACAGAGTGGCGTACCTGTCATGGCGCAGCGCTCTCATGTCCACGTACACGGTGGTGGGGTCGGGGCCTGAGGTGCCCTGCAGCCAATCACAAAGCAGGAACAGTTTGGGTCACACAGTTATCCTCACCTCTCAGGTTTTTAAATGTTAGTCTCATAAAATGCATCTTTAAAAGGAAAAATAAGAATTGGAAATAAACATTTAATTATAACCTAAATATTACTTTGACAATAAAAAAATAAAAACTCAGATTTGAATTTCTGTACAGAAATGGATACATGATAAAATTCTAGTTTTATTATACTGAAAATCAGACCTTAATGAACACTTTCTAAACCTTTTCCTCCTTTATTGTTTACATATCGGCTGCTGTGTTTGATGTGTTTATCAGGAGCCCAGATCTAGATTTACTCAAATCTACTTGTTTTTCTTTCAGAAAGACCAAAAAAAAAAAATCTTCTTTTTACATTCTTCTTCAGATGAACCCATAGAGATTCTATCAGACTTAGATCTGGACTCTGGCTAAGCTTAACTAAAAAGGAAGGCATGTTTAGAACCACATTGATGCTAAACAATTAACTCCATCTTCATCCTTTTTGCAGACAATTTCATTTTATTCAGCTGGACAAAAGATTGAATTTGATATGGAGAAAACAAACCCTAAAGCATGATGCTGCCATCGCCGTGCTTCTTTGTGTGGTTTTGGGGATTAATTTGGTTTAGAGCATTTTAGACAGAACAGGTTTCTGTTTACAGACCTGTTCAGTCCAGACATGAACAGTGAAACAGGAGGCTGTTGTCTCATGCAGAACATAACCAGCAGTAGAAGCTTCATCTGTGCTGCTGTCAGCCTCTTACTGGCTTCCATGATTGGCTCAGGTAGTGTCCTGGTTGTTATTTGGACTCATGGAGGCTCTGAATGGCCAAACTCTTAAAGAGCGTTGGAATAAAGCAGTGTCTCTGTTTCTTACCTGCAGACAGATGGCCAGGTTGACCCTGCAGCCAAACGCTGTGCTGACAGATCGAGGATGAAGGCCCAGGTCTTTGAAGAGCTTGGAGAAGGAGAGTGTCAGCGCCATCCTGGGCCTCTCCTCAGCCACAACCACACAGGCCCGAACCCGAGACAGATCCAGACCTCTGGCCTGCATCAGAGACAGAGCAGAAGACACAATGGCTGTCCTGTGAGTCTTTGTGTGGAAACAACTGAATCTATCCTGTTTAACTCTTCTACTAGAACTCCAACCCTGCTGAGCTATAAAGAGCCTCCCTGGAGACTCTCTGCTCCTGTTCAGTAGGGAAACTGTTTTATGAGCAAAACGCCAGAAATAAAACCCTTTTCTCCTCCAAACTCTGTCTCCATGGAGATTTGATGACAGATATTCACTAAAATTAACTTCCATCAGTGACCAATCGCTGCAGAGGCCCCTGGCTGAGCTTTATTCAAAGCCGAGGATGACGATGGAGCCGGATAGAGAGGCGAACTGACCACTGAGATGGATCCTCCTGGACCTTTAAACCGTGACGGACCAGTGAGATCGTCTCCAGGACAGGAGCTGGGGTCAGCTGCTGCAGCAGAACAGGCCTGACTATCCAATCACATCAAAGATCATTTTAAAGGTTCGTCCACCAGTCTTTCTAATGTTGAAATAAAGACTTTTCTATCCAGGATGGTCTGATCCTCTCTCATGGAGTCAGATGGTTTTAGCTGCTCTAAAAGCCCGTTTTTAATAGTTTAGAACAGGGGTAACCAATTAAAAATCAGCGGGGTCCGAATAAAGAAAATCAAAATCAGTAAAGGTCCGGAGACATTTTTAATTATAATCTGTTACTATAAACAGAATTTAACACTGAAATAAAATTAGTTTTTTATCCATCCATGTTATACATTAAATTTTTTTTATAATTTTTTTTTTCCATTTTAAAATCTAAAGTGTTTTAAGTAGAGAACAACCATCTTTCAGTTTGGTATATAGACAATTTCCTGATTCACATATTTTATAAAACACCTGAACGGATTTTTCTATTTTCTGTCTTAATGTTGGCAGTGGGGTTTATGCTGCCCTGCAAGGCTTTAAACCTGGTTTGAATGGAAACTAAGTCATTCTAAAGCACATATCAAGGAGCTCATTTTGAGCCTGGATCCATATTTATTTTTGATTCTGTTCATGGTGGAGAATCCTGCTTCACAGCAGCAGGTTGAGACAAACATCCTCTAAATGTTTAGGATCATCTTTGAGCACCATTTCACTTTTCTTTCAGCAGTTCACCACAGTCCTTCCAGCAGTCCACACTTTCTCTGCTCTCTTTTTCTCATCATCTTCTCCTTCTTTCCCATCGCCCGGCTTGCTGCAGGTTTGCCTGCTGTGTCTAAAAGTAGCAGCAGCAGCAACCCAGACTGACAGCAGCTCATTGGATCATTTGTACCACATGTAGCCTGGTGCCGGACGCTCCAGAGGGCACTGTCACTGTCATGGGACAACGTGCGGTAATTTATAAATATTTTAAATCAGGTTGGATCAGGATTAGCCAGAAGTTGGGTCCAGATCCGGACCGCGTTCCGCTAATCTGTGAGCTCTGGTTTAGAATGAGATGCTCTGATACGTGAACGCTGTATCAGATGATCAACTCATCCTAATAAACCTGGTGGCAGCTGTTAATTAACAAATTAACAAACAGCAGTTTATCATGAAATTGTGATTGGCAGATGCTGGAGTGAAGAACTTCTAAAAGCTTTGATGGGTTCATTTCAATGCAGTATGTAGAGAAGAGCGCCGGAGCATCAAGCATCTCTTTAGCGCCCCCTTGCGGCTCCCAGGAGCCTTTTCAAAAATGTATAAAATTTGAATAAAATAAATAAATTTAAACATTAAATGTAAGCATTTCTTTGAATGAAAATTTGCGTCAGTCATAGAGATCAGGGGTCATAGCCTGCTAAACACGTTTTAGAGCGGCGCGGTGCCAGGCAAAGATGGCGGTGGGTCTGTCTTGGACCATGGATCCCAAAGGGAAAAAAAGGAAGATACCTGATGAGAACAGAGGATTCAAAGAAGAATGGACCGAAACATTTACTTCCATTATCAATGCGGAAGGATTGCCTGCATTTTTGCTTTGTAATGAGAGTTTGTCAAAAAAAATAAAAGAGTAATTTGGAAAGGCATTTCCAGAGAAGGCTAAATATGCAGCTGATCACAACGTTGGGAGTGAGAGAAAAAGTGCGCTTGCAGAATATCTCGATAAATTGGAGGAGGGCAAAGATAGATTTAAGAAGTGGATTGATCTCCAGACTCCACTAATGCTGCTAGTTTTGTTCCAAGCATGATAAACCGTCCACAGATCCAACAGGTAGCGCTCTGATGCAGGGATGTCAACTTTCCTCCATTTTCTCAAAATAACAATAACACCAAGGAACGCTGGTGACGAAGGATGTGAATTCCACGTGGTGAGAGCGTTCACTGCCCCTCCCTCACCTCATGCTACTATGTGACATTTGCTATATTATAGGATAAACATTTAATATATATTTAAGCCCACATAGTCCTTTTTCATAGTATGCTAATACACTTAGAGCCTGTGTTGCCATATGAGGATTATATAAGACTTTTACATTTTTGCGGCTACAGACAGTTATGTTTTTGTGGTCAAATCTGGCTTTTTGGACAGTTTGATGTAGAGAAATAAGGTCCACCTCCAAACAATAAGGTTCTTCAGTCCATGCTTTCTGGTCTCAGCACCAATCCATCCAGGACCCTGAGCTGATGGTCATCAAGACACAACGCAGGGAGAAAGATGGTGTCAATGGGTTCTGATCCCAGAGTCTAGATAAAGGTTCTACAGGTGATAATCAGGCTGCTGGGTGCTCTGCAGAGCGTCTCAGATACCCATCGATCTGCTGATGTGTCCCAGTCCAACTGTAGCCTCCAGCGGTACTGCAGTGTCTGTGGTTCTGAATCGGTTCTGCCTTCTAGCAAACTACTTCCAAACTGGACCGTTCCTTCAGGCCCATCACCTGAGGTTTTATACAGAGCTCCCAAACCTCTTAGGTCCTGAAATATGATGGTGTTGTTTTTTGTTTTTTTTCTCTCTCTGGTTTATAATCTCAGAGAATCTGTCAGATAGAAGAGGTTGACTCCGTTTCTGCTGCATACTGACCTTCAGAGCTTCGGTCTGCAGGCCCAGTCCTTTGGTGCAGAGCTCCATGACGCTGTAGGAGCAGAAGGTGTCCCTCACCCTCAGCTGGCTGACGGCCAGCAGCCACAGAGCCGGGTTGGTCTCCAGCTCCACCGGTGGGATCAGGATGGACTGGTGGCCGGAATAAACACTGCAGACAGCAGGGAGAACTCAGGAAACAAACTTTGAGGAAGGATTCATACCTGGTTCCACACATGGCTCTAACAGGCTGAGTGTCATAAGGAAACTGAATTAAACCAGTTAGACTCCAAGCAACAGCAGTGAAACCCAGGAGCATCAGTGAACTATGTCTGCATTATACCTTATCATCATCATCATCATCATCATCATCATCATCATCATCATCACAATAGTGGCATGTGCAAATTCCTCCTGCGAAGAACTGTCTGAGCACTAAGCCCTGGCCACATGGCTAAAAAATATATATGTTTTTTTTTACCAAATCCATTTTTTCCCCTTAAATGTCATGATGAAAAATATTACTGATGACATAAATTATTTTCAAAAACAAGCTTTTATTTTTTAATAATCATTTCAGGGAGGTGACAACAATTAAATAACTAAATCCAAGCTGTGAAACGTTCGTTTTAAGGCCTTTTCACTGTAATCGACAATAAATCCTCGTAAACAGACAGTTTGATTAAGAAAAATCCCCCCGTTCTGCTGAGGATGATGATGTTCTCCAGATTCTGATCCAGGTTTTATATTTATGGAATCAAACCTTTGAACTGGAACCAGAATATGAGGTTTTGTTAAAATATTAAAAGCTGAGCAGGAATCAGTTTTTAACAATAAAATCTGAACATGGCAGCGATTTCTCTGCAAAATCTCTTCATTTTATAATAAACCATTTGACTAATTTTCATCAGCTCTCACTTGGCTTCCATTGTTTCATTTGCATATTTTAAAAGGACAATTTTCATGCAATATCCACAAATGTTGGTCAATTCTATTGCGTTTTATGCAACAGACCAATAGCAAGTGGAGTAAAACTGTAAACTGGAATCAGATCACAACTTGTTTACAAAATAAACATCTTCAGATATTTAGCCCTCATTAGTCTGACATTACCAAATTAAACTCAGTCCAAGCATGTAGTAAATAGATACAATAAATACAATCACAGTTTATTGACATTACAGACTTAAAGTCAGTGGATGAAACACTGAAAACGATTAGGTCTTCTGGCTCAAATCTAGTCTGCAAAGCCAGAACCAGAACCATTAATAATGAGAGTTATGCTATGTTCAGACCGCACGCAGTAGAAGCAGCAAAAACGTGCGTGCTGCTTCAGTTAAGATGCTTGTACAAGTTTAGTTCTGGGGCGCGGTTGAAGCATCTTGGCCAATTGTTAATGAACGGTGTGTATAAGAACATTTTGTGTATGTTTTTTGTTTTTTTTGTGTGTAAAATGTCTTCAAAGAGAACACAGTGTTCAGTGAGATACACTGTTCTTCTGCCTTTTTAGTGAAATAATCTCATGCAGAAAGTGAAAGTGCTTGTGCAAATTGGGCAACGAAAAGCAAAATTAAAGGTGTTTAGTCATTTTATTCAGACATGATAGTTTTTCCATGGTTTTTGGTTTTAATTGGGTTGGAAGTTATGTGACAACCAATCTTTTGACTAAATCAACCACTCTAATTTGGCAGTGTTTTTACCCAATATATTTTTGTACTAGAGCAAACCAAAACATTTTGATCATTACATCTAACCCAAGTAGTTTTAACCAACTAGATTGGTTGGAAAAACCTTTCTATTTTAAGCATCTATCCAACTGATAGCAACTCTCCTACAAACTCCCACATCTTGACTGAGTAGTGAGGCTGTTTAAATCCCTGTTGAAGTTCTCGCGCGGCCCGACCCACTTCTTTAAGCCGTCACGTGGGATAACAGTACAGGCTTCGGACGTCATCAATTTTGGCCCCTCCCCTAAATGAATCATTCCTCAACACGCACTCTGGGAAAACGCCCCCTCCATTACTCGACACACGCCTCGAATCTCATATGATCACTTGTAGAAAGCTGTGGGGGCTTCGATGTTCCAGAACAGCCTCAGACTCTCAGGAAAAACTTAAAAGCAGAAAAAGTGTGTCACTGTGCGTAAATATTAGTTACTGAGTAATTATTATTGGATAAGGTGATGAAAGCAACATTAATCCCCTCAATCTCTGGGAGAAACATTTAATAATCACCAAGGCTTAACAGCAGCGTTTAGTGCTTTTACATAAACTTGCCTTATTTAACCTGCATGATAATTTTATTGTTAATCATTTTGTTATTCCTTACCTGTTTCATTATCTCTCTCTCCTACTTTGCCAATCTAATTGATGTTTTTCTATGTTTGCCCGTTCTCTTTTGTTCACAGTTGTGGACGATAAACTATCGTTGAAAAGCGTTGAGATAAGCTCACATAAGATGGGAGTGAAGAGAAATTTCAAGCGGCACCAACCTGCAGAGACACCAGAGGACGAAGCCCAGGCCGCAGTATGGATCCAGACAGATGGCCACCTCTCTGGACGGGTACAGCTCACACTGCAGCTTCACCGAGCGGCAAAAGGCTCCAACGGCATTATGGGACATCTGGAAACAACCCAAAGAATTTACCACAAGAGTTCGTTTACGTCTTTGGAGATTCAACAGGAACATTGCATTGAGGAGGCAGAATTAGTTTCATAAAGGTTTGATTTAAAGTTATACATAAATTAATAAAATGTTAATATCAGCAGAAGTAAAGGAACAAGATAGATTTAGCTTAAATTTTCATGAAATGTCCTTTAGTGAGGAGTTAAATGACAGATTTTTTAAAACAGGATGGATGCACTGGAAAACGATCTAGAAATAAGTAAAACTGTCTTAAATTAAGTGTATTTAACCTTAATTTTTGTAGCTAAATGAGATAGTTTGCCAATGGAATGAATATTTTGACTTAAAATAAGATATTTAGATAATATGACTGTGAAATAAGACAATACAATTGTGTTTTCTTATTTAAAGTGTAAACTGTCTTGTTCCATTGGCAAAATGTCTCTTTTACCTCCTAAATCCAAGAACAAATGCACTTTTAAGAAAAAATGACTTATCTAGATTTCGATTTTTTCCAGTGTGCCAGCAGTGTATATTAGAACCCCTGCTTAAGAGGTTTTGAAATAGAGATGCACCAACACTGAAACCTGATGTCATTATTGACTCATATTATATTTATAGTTCACTAACTTATCTATAACATGAAAAATGAACCACCCCAGTGGCATCGCTTAGTTACATCCCCCACACACTTGAAAAAACAAAAAACCTGCTGTTATATCGACCCAGTTTTACTATTTTTAGTTTTACAGAGACTTCTAGAACCTTTAAGGTTACCAACAATATCTCATCTATAGTTTAATGCAAAACAAAATTTTTTAAGTTTATTTGAAGTTTTCTAGAATGTGTAAAAATGACTTTAACTGAAGGCAACAGCATTTGGCCAGACACCAACAGAAAGGATGCTTTATTTGACTGTGATTATTAAAATGTGGGAATAACATGATTTTAAAGCTCAGTGTTTTCAGTTAGCAGTTAAATGAACCTAGAATCTCCTCCTGCTCAGTTGTTTTCAGAGGATCCTTGTTTATACTGTAGCTGTCCCCTCTAAACTGCTGCTGCTGATTCTAAAGTTGGTTGGGTAAGTAATGATTGAAGCTGGAGGAGACGGCCCGGTCCAGGAGGGGATTACAGCTGAACTGACCTGAACTCCAGCCAGCATGCCGGTCGTGGACACGCTGAAGTCCAGATAGGCCAAGCCGTCTGGGTTGGTGGGCTTATAGAGCGCCGGGGGCTTCTTCTTTGGCAGGTCATCTGCAGCACAAACACAACTTCATTTGGATCTGTTTGGAAAGCCCGACCTCAGCTTGAACCCACAGATCGGCTCTGATGGAGCGGCGCCGCTGGAGCACAGCAGATGCTCTACTTTCTGCATGACAGCAGCAAATATCCTGGAGCCGTTACAGGTTATAGTGCTGTGATCCACAGAGATCGGTTCCCATCCAGAACCATTTAGACCCAGTTGTTCCTCCATTCCTTCAACATGACGAATATAAGCAGCCTCTTTTCCATTGGTTTTTTCTTTTGTTTGGATTGAAACTACTTATAAACAATTAAGACAAAGATATGGTAAAAATCAAATCATTTTCAGACGATTATTATTTATCAAACAAAGAAGCAGCCAAAACAGACATAGCTAATGAAAAACTAAGAACACCCAATGATCCTAGAGCTAACAGATCCACATTCAGCAGCATTAACTTAACTCAGTTAATGGAGACTTTGGTCTCATTTAACGTCCATCATTGTTTCTGCTCACTCAAGTTTGCATCTTTTTTTGTATTTGATGAATATTTCTCTTATATTGACATCAGGCAGGGTCTGAGCTTTGACTAGGCCACTGCAACACACATTTCCTTGTTTTTGCAGATCTGTTTGGACTTTTTGGCCTTTTAATAAGTAAGCTGCAGACCTTTGCTTTCTTCTGATGTAAAACTAAAATTTTTCAGTAAAATGGTTTGCTTCATTTCGACGCAAACTGCTGCTGCTGGTAGTAGAGGGTTTCTCCTCTCTGCACTTCCAACCTGCAGCGGATCTGCTGGGACCTTCACTCCTGATAATACTGTCAGCTGCATTCATTGTTTTCCACTTCTAAATAATCTGCTGTCTTCTCTGCAGAATGATGGACTTTAAACTATTTGACCTGATAACCCGTCTCTGATCGATGGGTGGCATCAGCTGCATCCCTGAGATCATTATTGATGGCTTTCCTCTCCACAGCAGAAAACTCCTGCCTTTTCCTCTTCATCTCTTTAAAAGCAGCAGGCGTGTACTTAGTTTTATCACATACCAGGTTCCTTTTTTGGCTTTATCATCGTTTAACCATTTATGACAGTGAAAAAGCTGTGGATGACTAATAATGCAGCTCAGCTGTTGTTGCTAACAAATACCGATAAGCAGGTGAAGAACATCTGTGGCTTATAATGAAGATGTTGATCTGGTTCATAATCTATCATCCGGAATATTCATCCTTCCTCATATGATTTGACTGCAGCACGTTGGATCGGCAGACAATAAATACTAATTCATTTACCAAAGATGTGAAAAGATGAACCTGATGTTTTCACCACACATCTGTAGTTGCCTCCCTGTAGTTACCATTTATGTCCAGCAGGGGGCGAGTCATAAAATAAACACAGCAGCCATGGTTCAGGCATGATTTCAGGCTCTGACTCAGACACCTCCTGTTAAAGAACAGGTTGTCCATCTGATGGTTATAGCAGCAGGTACTACACATTTATAAAGTCAAGGACAGAATACATTCTGAAATATCTTTTCTGGAAAAGGTCAACATTTCCATAAGGATAATTGGTTGCAGATGGAAAACACATAAAAAAAAATGGGATATGAATACACACTGGAAATCCAAGCATTTCTATGAAATGTTTTCCTTTCTCTATAGTTTAGAACTGGAAAAAAAAAGAACACGATATTCCTCCTAGATAATATAAAAATCAGGGTTTATACTGTTGGATCGTAAAGGTTATATTGATGCAGGGTTGAAACGATTATTAAAAAATAATGGTAAACTAACTTGGTAAGTGAACTGAATCATTACCTAGAGCCACGGTTCTCAAAGTGTGTGGCGCGACCCACTGGTGGGGAATTGAGACGTGACAGGTGGGGCGTGCCAAGTTCCGGTGTGTGTGTGTGTGTGTGTGTGTGTGTGTGTGTGACTATAAATGTAGAATGTGTGAGAGCAAACTGTCCTTATAGCTGTATGTTGCCGCTTTTTAGACCAATCAAACCCACAAAGTAAGCATTACTAGCCTACATGCAGTCTAATTAAAAGAACATTAGATATGAGAAAAATTTCACCTGGAACTGAAGTGCCAAAATAATGATTGACGTGACGTCGGCATATTATTTGTAACGGAATAAACTTTCGCGCCCCAGTGTTGCCAACTCAGCGACTTTGTCGCTATATTTCAGACCCCTCCAGCGACTCTTTTTTAAAAAAGGGACTAGCGACAAATTAGCGACCTTTGGAGACTCTTACGTGAAAGCACGTATCGTTCCTTTTCTTGTCCTCCAGCGGCAGGTGCTGCCGTGGGGCGCCTCCCCCATCCCCACCCCGTTCTCCCCCGCTATCGCAGGAGTCCCTCTCAGCGCTGCAGAGACACAGCATGTTTACCCTCAGCGTCCAGACTGCAAATAAAGCGCACATGCGCCGGGATTGACGGCGCAGGTTGATCATAAATAACTGAATTTGAAATATTTTATCTTAAATAAATAGGACCAGTTTATTGAAATGACGTCTGACTCCACCCTGAGGCTCAGGTTTAATGCTCAGACTCATAGTGAATTCTGGTTTGGAGTGGAGAGGGAGTTTCCACTCATCGGGCAGAGAGCTGTGTGCATTCTTCTTCCCTTTGCCACATCATATCTCTGTGAGATGGGCTTTTCAACTGTTGCTTCACTGAAAACAAAATACAGATCTCAGCTGAACATTGAGCATGACTTGAGAGTGGCAGTATCAAGCCTGCAACCCCGTTTTGATAAACTGTGCAATGCAAAACAGGCTCATTGCAGCCACTAATGCAGGGATAAATAGACCTGTATTGCCAGATGGATTTCACTTCTTTTCTTTTATTAACAGATTGCAGAGTGGCACTTTAATTTTTTCTATCTTTGAGCTTGATACAAATTTTGACACAGCTGCATTTTTATTTTCTTTATTTTTGAGCTTGCTGTTATTTGATGTAGATAGTTTGTATTTAGATACTACTTGTTACTTCAATAAAATTGGAAAATTTTAAGATTGTTGCATATTTCATTAGCATTGTGTTGGGGCGATGGGGACAGGCGGGGCTTGAAAATTCCCCCTTGTCCAAAGTGGGGAATGACAGAAAAAGTTTGAGAACCACTGACCTAGAGTGATGGTACAGACTGTAAACATAGCATTTGCTGAAGGAATAACCTTCTTCCAGCAGTCATTGGGAAGAACTTCATCTAAAATATGAATATTTCAGATAAACAGTCTTCTTCATGTGTTACACATGGATATGAGTAGATAGAACAGGCTTTTACACTGACAATTCTTTTAAAATGTGCAATTGAGGTTTTTTTTGAATCCCACAAATGTTTCATTCAGAAATTTCAGTCTACTATAAATATCGGTTTTTGGATGAATAGATTTTTCAAAATAAATAAATAATCAAATAGATGAATGGATTACTTAAAAAAACAATAACTGATAGCTGCAGTGCTGGATGAAACAGTACCGGTATCCAGAACTGGAGGCCAGTTCCTGATGTCCACGGTGGCCGTAGCCTCCTTGGAGCGCAGCAGCTTGCAGATGACGGCCGTCGTCATCACGCAGGCCGAGTGACTGACCTGCACACAAGATTAAAAGTATTTGAAAAGATGTTACCTCATTTTTTCTGCTTCCTTTTTGTGGATTTTTATGCACTGTAATTATTTAAATGTATAGTGGAGGATTCTAACGATATTTTGAAAAGACCCGCCCTCTCCACTTTCAAAAAAATACACATGCACCTGTACCTGCTCCTGAGAGGGAACGCCTATTAAACACCTGCAGAACATATACTAACTCATTTCTCCTTGTGCACACTCAGTTTAAAAGTTGCTGTTTACATTGCCCATACAAGCTTACTTTCCAAAAAAAGATCTGCAATTTTTCTCCCTAAAATGAAAATGGACGGGCACATAGGATGACCTTACATAAACATATCATCAGAATGATTGACAGATAGGAGGATTTGGAGGGACTTATTTTGATGATCCACCCGGAAAAAGAACACCCTCCACTATACCTTTAAGAGCTCAGGGTTCAGGTTCTGACACTTGGCCATGTGTCACTGAGAGGAAAGTAAAGCTGTGAATACTTGGATTCAGAGAGGAGGATAAAATAAGAGTCGGACCTCCACGATCATCTTGACGGTGGGCAGCGTGGTGGAGATGTTCTGAGGATGAGGCGGTCGCACTGTGATGGGAACACAGCCGGCGTACAGGCAGCCATAGAAAGCTGCGATCAGGTCGATCCCTGCAGGAGGAGCAGAGAGGTGGGGGTGATGGCTGCATGTGGTCCACAAAGTTCTATGAAAACCTTTTATCACTCCGTATATCTTGTTTTTCCCCCCAAAATTGTCAGACTTTTCTGTAGGCTTTTAAAAATGCCTACAGATGCTTTTAAAATGTTTACTGAGCAGTTCTTTTTAAAGTATTTATTTGTAAATTATCAGCTTTTTAATGAATTTTCAGTTAAATATGACCAGTGTAGGTGAACTGTGCAGCAAAAAGAGCTGAATCAGGATTCTTGGTTGTTGTTTGTTTACCTGGTGGGTAAACCAAAGCCACGTGGTCTCCCTCCTGTAGGCCTCCTCTCTCCATCAGCAGAGCTGCCACTCGCTCCGCCCTCTTATGCAGCTGCAGGCAGGTGAGGGAGTTGGACACCGCCCCCTAGACAACAGAGAAAGAGGCGGTGATGTGAGGACACGAAGATGCAGCAATAACAGTTCTTTCAAATCCACTTTAGCTCAGTTCTCAGTTAAAGCAGCCTGTTACCCGCGAGCTGAGGAGGGTGTAGAGGACGTGGTCTGGAGTGGTCTGGGCTCTCCACTGCAGGATCTCTGACAGGAACAGGAACTGGAGATGATGACAAACAAAGTTTAACTCCACCTTGTTTATGAGAGCAAATATGCCAACACATGAAGTTTTTAAACATTAAACTTCTGCAGAGATGCAGAACTTTGCATTTTCATTTCGAATTATTGGAACATCAGCATTTAACAAGCAGCAGAAAGCATTGGAGAAGGACTGCAGGGCGTCTTTAAACACATCTATGGTTTCAGATAAATCCTGTGTCGGTTTCTGGATGCCCTTACTCATCAGCTGCGACATTTGCTTTTACTGCTGACTCCACATTTAAAAGCTTCAATCAATACGTCAGGCTGTAAAATCCCTCAGATAAAACCCACGGACATTTCAAAACAACAAAGAGCAGTTTAAGGTCTGTTAGACCCATACTTTGATCCCTCAACTATCTGTAAACCTAATGCAGTTGCTGATAAAGCGAGGACTGTTTGTTGTTCTGTCTTAAAGAAATGCAAACGGTTCAATAAAAAAAAAAAAAAAAAACAACAACAAAGGAAAATAGTTGACAGTCCAGAGGGGATGAAACTAAACCACCACAGCAGCATGTTTGACTTAATGAGCCTGAAGAATCACTGCAGGGTCTGTTTCAGTTTATTTAGTCTGATTAAAGTGTTTTCTCCCTACGCCTCTGTCAATAGACATGTCAACAATTGCAGTTGGTGATAATTGGTTGTAGAAAAATGTAATAATAATCATTTCAATCAAAATCAATACAAGCAAGCTTATTCACATTTGCACAGTTTTTTTTGCATTTCTTCCTGCAGCAGCATCAGACACACAGATATGCAATGTTCTGTTTGCAGTAGGAAATCTGAATTTCTGACCTCCAAGTAGGAAATTCTAACTGGATTTTGTGAATGTGTAATTTCCAAATAAGGTCATTTATGTCCTTGATGGCTGCTGGTCACATGAACAGCAGTAAAACATTAATTTGAATGTTTTTCTACATTATAATTTATGTAATGCTCATTTATCATTACAAACACATTCTTACTAATCATAAGAATCCATGTTTCCATGGTGGTTTATAGGAGCAAACTACCACAAGTGGAAGTAAAAGCATAAAATCAGCCCACCACCAGTTCACAGGTTAAATCACTCTGACTGCCCAGTTCTAAGGTCAATAAAGGCAGCGTAGCCTTTCTTCTCGCCTCACCAGGAGGTTTTATCTCTGCTAAGTTGGGGAGCACATCCAGAAAATCAGCGCATACTAGTCTGGTTAGCTGACAAGTCAAACACAAATGCTCTGTTCTGGTCTAATTTACAGAGGCAGACGAACAAGACGGGAAAAAGCAGAATGATGTCATATGCTAGCATTGCTGATGCTGCATGCTAAATCCACAATAGGCACAGAAGTTTTGGCAGTAACTGCAAAATGTCTGTGAAGTTTTGAACCTCTCATCTAATGCTAGCAGTTTCGATGCCCAAATCAGTCGATGGGTTGGCATGCTCACAACCAGCTGAGCAATAAAACAAACCAGCAGGTTGTTAGGCTAATGTGACTAACAATCACACAGGTGATGGTGAAGGCTACAGTATTGGACGCTGAATCCTGTAGTAACTGACCCTGCTGCTACAGAAACCAATCAGAGGAAAGTACAGAGCAGCTGCTGAAGACGTTTATGGACCAGTTTCTGTCTCAGTAATGCCTTTCAATGTCAGGATGATGACAACACTAGAGTCTGATCTGCAGAAATCGGTTTAAACCTGAATTAAATGTGATTCATTTGATTGTTTTATTCATTGAAAATATTTTACAGGTTTTATCAATCAATCATGTGTTACTGAATCAGGAAAATCGTTCTGTAAATGCATCAACACGTTCTTTGATGCATTTGGGTTTTAACTTTGGTTAAATATATGCTTACTTTGCCTGCTAGGCTATAATAAAGAACCATCCATTCAGACTTATGTCACTGATATAGGCAGCGACATAAACGGACTTTCCTTTATTCAAACATCTGGTATTGATTGTTGGGATCAGTGCAGTGAGCAGATCATGATAACTGTTAATATTATAATGTTTACCATGATCAGAAACCCGTTTTCCTTAGTTTAATAGTAACAGAATAAACTCTGGATGTGCCGGTTAAAGCCTTCCATGCTGTCAGCCTCTCACCTGGTCGTTGTCGTCGGTCTGTCCCAGGTCTCTGCCACTGGCCTGAGCTATCCTCTTCCCCGACACCAGATTCCCCACCATCACGGAGGCGGGTCCGATCTCTGTAGCGCAGGGAAACAACAACGCTCAGAGCCTCCGTCGTCACAGACACGAACGAGAACGCGCCGACAGAAGGAACGTCGCCGCTCACCTGGCTGTTTCTGCCGCGGCTTGGGCAGGTTGGTGACGCAGGTGTGGGGGCACATCAGGACGTTGCACGGGTGCAGCCCCCCCTCCAGATACAGCTGCTTGATCTCTGACAGGTGGATGCCGCCTAGAGGAGTCTTGGGAAGGGTGTTGGCCGGAACCAAAGCCAGACAGAAGACGCCCACCCCATGGATGCTGTCTATGGCCTGATGGGAAGAGAGGACAGGACTGACTAATGAAACACATCATCTAGATTCTATTATTACTCTACGGACATAATAAATGAAGATGTGAATGCCCAACCTTTACTATGGCAACCCCCTTAAAGCAAAGATGCAAAACTGGAAGTGATCCATACCTGCAGAACCCGGCTCATCCACTGGAAGCTGTCCTCCTCCGTGGAGTCTGGCCTCTGCTCAGCCACCACCACGATCCGCTCATCCCTCAGCACCGTCACAGAGAACACGGCTATCCTGCAGAGACGGAGGGCAGACACAGTCATTGCAGCTACTGAATGAGACCAGAGACCGCACCTGAAGCACTGCATAGGGTCAGGAGTTCATGGTAAACACCGTGACACTGTAGAACTTCCTGGACAAACAGGAAATCCCACCTAGTGTTATTAAACCTGTGGAAGCATGATTTTCCTCGGCCTAATTGGGGTCCTGTCGCTACACACACAATCCATCCTGCGCATGCACGAACAGATATACATCTGGGTGTCCATAAATACTGTTATTATGGTACTAAAACTACTTATTTCTATCCTTAACTCACTTAAGAATGCTAATACACATGTTTAAAAATGTGTTAATTAATTTTTTGAGTCAATTTTTATGCTTTTTTACATTTTCTCCGTTAAACAGCTTCTCTGACATCATCAGACATGCTCAGAGCGGTCCAGCAAAATCTGATTAAACCATGTTTATCTGCATTTTAGTTATTTCTTTCTTTTTATTACGCACTATATAACATAAGGCTAAAGCGAAACGATAACATAAAACTTAAAAAGATTAGATTTATGTTTAAATCCAAAGCCAAAAAAAGTTAGCCACAGGAAGTAGCGAAGGATCCCATTTCCGGTGCAGATCAGGCAGAGACGACTGATAAAACAGAAAGGATTTTAAGGCATTTTTTTTTCTCAGGAAATACATTATTAATCTTTAACACATTATATTTTAGTACGTTTACTATTTTTGGGGAGGAAAACTTCATTTTTAACTAAATAAAATCGAGGACAACCCGGATGTATATCTGGATGTGCAAACGAGCTGATCATGCTCCCGGGACGGATCGGGTAGTGACATGGTGAAAGGAAGGAGGGATAAAAGAAACATGTTTAAAGTTTCCTCATCTTCCTTCATGCCCTGAACAGAAGACACCTGTTCTGAGTGTTTATCTGGCTAATGAAACATGTATGTCCTCGATGAACTGAAGATATTTTGTATCCATCAGGGTTCCTAACACATAAGGAAAGTTAAATTTAAGACTTTTTAAGGATCTGCAGGAACCCTGTCTATGTATGTTCAAGTGTGAGAAAGTTCTTTATGCAGGGGTGGGATGGTCCCAAGGGAGAGAGAGAGTGTTGAAATTTGTACAATATAAATGTGTGTGCTGGGCTTGCCCCAATAAGAGCTTTTCTCTCCGTCTGCGGACGTAAAATAAATCAGTATTTTTGCAAAATTTGCCTCCACCTCAGCTTCCTAACTCCACAAATTTCTTTACGTTCATGTAAGAATAAAAAGAAAATAAAGACGATCTGAGTTCTTATGGACCATCCAAAACCCTGAAGACTGATCTGTTATCAGTGCAGAGAGGAAGAATACTTTTATACATCAGAGAGTGTAAATACTGCTTCACACCTGACTGCAGGTAAACAGATGGCTCTTCAGAAGCAAACAGAGAACAGGAAAAAACTTTCATTGGAAATGACTCCCATCTGACCAGGATGTGGGGCTCTGTGTTCCTGCAGCTGAAACTTTAAATACCAGCATCACCACAGCCTGTCAGGTTAGAGATGAATTTCCAGCTCGTCGGCTTTGGATGCAATTAGCTTCCCCGCGTTGCAGTGTCCTGATTCCTTCTCTACCACTGGACTTTATTAGACATATAATGTTGTGAATGAAGCTCATTCATCACTATGACAGGAAACTCTTGTGACGGCCGGCTGCTCTCCAGCTGCTTTCGCTGAGACAGATGCCTAACACTCACCGCCCTCTGTAGACGAACTTCATGGGTTCCACCGCCAGCGCCGTGGCCACGATGTCGTCTGCGTTATGCCTCCGCCCGCTCACCATGATGAGCCCGTCCATTTTCCCTGTGATGAAGACGAGGCCGCCGGGTCCGATGAAGCCCAGCAGGCCGGTCCGGACGAAGGCGTACTCGCTGATCAGACCCCCGCTGGAGCTCACTGGATACACCTGCAGCACACAAGTTTAGAGACACTGTCACCGTGGCAACCAGCCACTGAGTCTTCTTAGATTTAGGGCATCTATGTTTGATGTTTAGGACCACATCAGAGCCAGCAGGCGTTCTCACCTCAAAGGTGTTCTTTGTCATTCCCGTCAGGCCATAATAGGACGTTCCCGTGGCGATGGAGCAGACGCAGAGTTCGCCGATCTCGTCCGTCTGACAAAGCTGAGGGACGCCCTCCGGTTTAACCACGCACACAAGACCTGATAGGAAACAAAAAAAAAAAAAATGGACATCTGGCGGTTAACACACAGCAGCAGAAGCAACTTTCCTTTATTCGGTTGCACCTGCTTCTGAAAGTGGACCATGTGTCTGAGTCACAGTTTCTTAGCAATCTTTAAATAGGCTGTTCTCTCAGAGCTGAGGGTGACGTATGTGTCCAGCCAAAAACAGGATAAACTAAGAGCAACTGGGTTAAAACAGAGAAAAAGCAGCATTATATAAACCGAAGGATATAGAAGCATATTAATTTTAATGTGATGAGAATCGTTTTCCCTTAAATTAAAAACAATCCCCATTCCAAGATGGTGAAGATGTTAAAGCGTTTGACTGACATGTAAGGAACCCAGCTTCAAACCCCCAAAAAAGAATCAGTTTAAACGTTTGGTGGCGTGATTTTAAACTGCAGCAGAGTGAGTCTGTGTTGGATCAGGAAGGTTTACATGCTGCCTTCCACAGATTATTGCCTTCTTTATAGATTAAAGCACCATACTTCAGTAACTCCTGCAGGATGCATCTGGATGCAGGCAGAAAGCTCACTGCACTGCAGCAGGAGTAACGCCTCTTTCCCTGCAGGTGTTTGGACTTCAAGGATTTTTATTGTAGGTAAAACAGCACAAAATAGAGCCAAAAAAAAAAAAAAAAAAACGATTGGTCCATCCATCCATCCATCCATCCATCCATCCATCCATCCATCCATCCATCCATCCATCCATCCATCCATCCATCCATCCATCCATCCATCCATCTATCCATCATTCCCTCCATCCGACTTTTTCAGCCTTTGCTTGGCATTAGAGGCATCCTGATTAATGTATGAAGCCTTATTAATGTAGAAAATGACTCTTCTAAACAGTTCTTTATTATTTAGATCAATCTTAATTAATACATGACTCTGCTGTAAAATAATAATTACTCTGTTGTCCCGGACACATGATGAATTGCATCCTGCAAAGCTCGCTCTGCTCTGTATTAACCGAATAAAGAGCCTGTTGTTTAGGTCGGATCACAGGTTTCTGATTTTTTCCTGAACAGACATAGAGAGCTCAGCCATGAAGAGAGAGCGAGCTGCAGAAAAACGGACAATGATTAAGAAGAGAGGCCTCACATTTATTCGCCCCTTCTCACTAATTGAACAATTTAATGGACCTAATGGATTTATTCACCCTGCGGAGCATGAAACACTGAGAGCTGATAGTTTAACTCTTCACAGGACAAATGGAGAGCTTATGCTGCCTCTTTCAACAGTTAGATTAATCTACATGGCTTTAAGCCTTAGAGCTTTTCCATCCCAACTTATATTTCAACGATTCTGCACATTTGTATAACTAAATACAAAGTTTTACTTCACATTTTAAGTCAAAATTATTTACTTTTCACATCAAAAGTCAATTCTTAGTCCATTTCTAGAAATTCATAAAGAAACTCATGGAATATATTTCTATGGCTGAAACTACAGATGAACCGACATAGGCCTTTGCCTTTTCTTCCTCCATTTAATGAAAAACGTGACACGGTGATAACCAATAATATCCTATTAAAAAATAAAAGCAAAATTGGAGAAAGGAGAAAAGATACCTGAGAAAAGCTCGGGTGTCTTGATTTAAACAGAGTAAAACTATAAAATAATACTTTTTATTTTCTTATCAGTTATTGTATATTCTACTTTTGGACTGTTTTGACTGAGAGGGGTAATCATGGTAAGGAAAAAAGCCCAATGGGGTACACAAGTCAAAAAAGGTCAGGAACCACTGCTCTAGGGGACGTTTGAATGCTTTTATGACCACTTATCTTTGTAAACAATCAAATCTGTGTAAAACCTGACTGAATTGTTTGTTTATGTTCTGTTTATATTGGGGGAGGGGCAGAATGGAGGTAGGAGGGGGCGAACAGAACCACATCTCAGCCAGAACATTCTTATTAGGGCTGCAACAACGAATCGATAAAAATCGACTTTTAAAAGCGTTGGCAACGAATTTCATCATCGATTAGTTGTTTCCTGTCGGCAGAGCGAGCCAGCGCCGCAGGTGCAGTGTTGCCAACTCAGCGACTTTGTCGCTATATTTAGCGACTTTTCAGACCCCTCCAGCGACTATTTTTTTAAAAAAGCGACTAGCGACAAATCTGGCGACTTTTTACGGTGTCACTGGCGGCTTTTGGAGACTCTTACGTGAAAGCATGTATCGTTTCTACTCTGCCGTGGGGCGCCTCCCCCATCCCAACCCCGTTCTCCCGCAGGAGTCCCTCTCAGCGCTGCAGTCAGAGCAGCAGGATGTTTCAGCGTCCAGACTGCAAATGAAGCGCGCATGCGCCGGGATTGACGGCGCAAATTGATCACAATAATTAAAATAGCCTTTATAAATAAATTAACTTGCTAATTATGAGGGCAAGGCTTTTAAAGTTTAAATCTTCTGGCAAAGATAAAGTAAAGAAGATCCTGCAATTTATGGACGTAAAGCATAAAATCCAGCAAGATCAGTAATATGTCAATTAATTATATGCCACATTTCCATGTAAATACACTATATTGCCAAAAGTATTTGCTCACCCATCCAAATTATTGGAATCAGGTGTTCCAATCACTTCCATGGCCACAGGTGTATAAATTCAAGCACCTAGGCATGCAGACTGTTTTTACAAACATTTGTGAAAGAATGGGTCGCTCTCAGGAGCTCAGTGAATTCCAGCGTGGAACTGTGATAGGATGCCACCTGTGCAACAAATCCAGTCGTGAAATTTCCTCGCTCCTAAATATTCCACAGTCAACTGTCAGCTGTATTATAAGAAAATGGAAGTGTTTGGGAACGACAGCAACTCAGCCACGAAGTGGTAGGCCACGTAAACTGACGGAGCGGGGTCAGCGGATGCTGACGCGCATAGTGCGAAGAGGTCGCCAACTTTCTGCAGAGTCAATCACTACAGACCTCCAAACTTCATGTGGCCTTCAGATTAGCTCAAGAACAGTGCGCAGAGAGCTTCATGGAATGGGTTTCCATGGTCGAGCAGCTGCATCCAAGCCATACATCACCAAGTGCAATGCAAAGCGTCGGATGCGGTGGTGTAAAGCACGCCGCCACTGGACTCTAGAGCAGTGGAGACGCGTTCTCTGGAGTGACGAATCGCGCTTCTCCATCTGGCAATCTGATGGACGGGTCTGGGTTTGGCGGTTGCCAGGAGAACGGTACTTGTCTGACTGCATTGTGCCAAGTGTAAAGTTTGGTGGAGGGGGGATTATGGTGTGGGGTTGTTTTTCAGGAGCTGGGCTTGGCCCCTTAGTTCCAGTGAAAGGAACTCTGAATGCTTCAGCATACCAAGACATTTTGGACAATTCCATGCTCCCAACTTTGTGGGAACAGTTTGGAGCTGGCCCCTTCCTCTTCCAACATGACTGTGCACCAGTGCACAAAGCAAGGTCCATAAAGACATGGATGACAGAGTCTGGTGTGGATGAACTTGACTGGCCTGCACAGAGTCCTGACCTCAACCCGATAGAACACCTTTGGGATGAATTAGAGCGGAGACTGAGAGCCAGGCCTTCTCGTCCAACATCAGTGTGCGACCTCACAAATGCGCTTCTGGAAGAATGGTCAAAAATTCCCATAAACACACTCCTAAACCTTGTGGACAGCCTTCCCAGAAGAGTTGAAGCTGTTCTAGCTGCAAAGGGTGGACCGACGTCATATTGAACCCTATGGATTAGGAACGGGATGTCACTTAAGCTCATATGTGAGTCAAGGCAGGTGAGCAAATACTTTTGGCAATATAGTGTATCTGTCTTTGGAGGATGTGTTTTTCCAAATACAATTTATAATTTGAATCACAGGGCTATTTTTATCTCTATGGTTTAGTATTTTCTCAAGTAGCAACTTTAACTGCTATACTTTCCTGTCTTAAAAGGCAGAACTCTTCTAGTCTAAAAAAACCTCATTTGTTGAAATGGGGGGACCTATTGTTTGAACCCCTTAGGGGCTTTAAAAACAAAAATGTTTTTTTTTGCGCTTTATGAAACAAAGTACCCTATATTTTGTGGATGTACAGCTACATTTCTCATGTAAGTTTGCGTAGTTTTAACACAAACATTTATTTTTCAGATTGCACCAGAACAGTTAATAAAAACCTGTACTTGTGTGCTTGTTTGTTCTGTCTAAAATGTTTATTTTGGAATAAAGAGGTTAGTACAAAAAATATTTTTTGTCCGATTCATCGATTAATCGAAAAAATAATCGTCCGATTCATCGATTTTTAAAATAATCGTTAGTTGCAGCCCTAATTCTTATTAGTAAGATTCTATCTCTAAGTTGGTCCTTCTTATGTAAATTCCTTCAGAAATTAAATAAATAAAAGTCGATATTTTCAAATCCTTACTATAATTGAATAGTTACTGAATTGAACAGAGTATAAAGACATACAGAACGTATCTCCACTGAGTTTCTGACCCCTAGAACGAGCATCAATGACCTGCAGCACAATAAACAGGTTTTAATGGCTCAGAAACACAGAGCATTGCTGAACCACAAGGAACTGGACATATTCATGCAGCATCTGATGAACACATCTGTTCTATCTGTTGGGTCACCAGTAGATTTCCCGTTTTAATTGTCTTCCATTCTGCAGGAATGTGGGAAGATGTGGGCAACAAACTGAGAATGAAGAGATGTGACATCGCTACACAGAGAAATCAAATCCAAGATGGAGCATCAGGGAACCGGTATGAAGCGAGAGCTTTTACTGTAGAGAAGGTAAATGCGGCATAATTACCTCCTGGGGTGACGGTGCCAACGTCCTGCACGGTGAGCACAGACAGCCGCTCCTCTGTGTCCACTCTGACGACTCCATAGCTTAGACCCTGCATGGACAGGACGCCACGGCCTGGAGGCTGGCTGCTGTCCTCCACCGGCCTGAACACAGAACCAGGACACATGTCACACCAGATTCCCTGCAGGATTTAATGCAGGATGGTGCATGAACTCAACCACAGCAGCATGAACTCCTTTGGATCTGTGTCTGTTCTAAATTAAACAAGTTTCTCTAAATTATTTTGCACAAGTATCCAAAACTATTAAACCGTTTCTCAACGTGTGCTTGTGTGTTCTCGTTTGCTCCTGTACTTGTGAAACGTCATTAGCCTCAGCCCTAGTACTGTTCTATTACACAAGAACAGTAGACAATAACAGATAAAGTCCCCGGATGTTGTTCCCGCCCCTCCCTCTTTACCCAGCATGCATCAGAGCAGACTTGTGCTTTCTTGAGATTGACAGCTGTCCCAGAATGGAGCGCTGACAGAGCTCAGAGTATTAAGTTAAAAGTTCAATAAAAGTACGTTTTGAGATAATTTGAGGTGAGAACATTATAGTTTTAAGCGTCACTGTATGCTCCATTTACCGATTTAATACGTAATTTAGAAAAAGTTTCCAAAGTAGGGAGGACCGCAGCAACCAGAGGACCTCTGAGGCTAACGGCAGCCAGGGCTAACGTTAGCCCGTCTGCATTAGCCCTCTCGCGGCATAGCCGTGTGTGAAGGACCGCTGGCTATTATGAAGAGTTTTTTGTCTTATTTGGCAAAATGTTATTTTTATTTGTGTTTATCTGACTGTTTTATTTATTGTTAAGTTTTTGAACATGTTAAAGCCTCCAAAAAGCTGCTAGTTTTGTTAGAAGAAAAACAAGAATATCAATAATTAAAGCGGCGAGCGGGGTATGGTCGCTATTGCAGCTGCAGGAGCCAAGCAATTGCCACCTCCTCGCTCCTTCCCAGTCAGCAAAACAAGTTCCACACTTCACCTCTGACCAGCTGGAGACACCACAGCTTTGGTCAGAAAGGGTTAAACTAGTGTTAAAAGACAATATCTGGAACAAATCTCATCTGTCAGATAGACCCTACGGCCATCTTAGTTGGCTGGTCTAAAGTGATGTCGCCACATGACAACATAAGCTTGCTATCAGCAGTCGAGTTGGAGCAAATATGCTTACAGCAAATGTGTGTATAGCTTTGTAGGAGACATTAAGTGAGATGAAGTTGTTGGAAACTTTAGTCATTCAGGATATAGTTGCATCTATGTCTTAGATTTTATTCTTGTATCTGCAAAGTCATAAAAAAGTTAAACTTTTAAGTTAAACCTGAACTGAAGTACCATGAGTTTAAGTCTGCAGTATAACAGTTCTATTTCCTTTACTGTCCTTTTTAATGTCTTTATCTCCAGTAGTTTATATTCCATTAGTAGTCACTGTTATTTTATTGTTTAAATCAAAAAAAGTAAGAATTAATTATTATTATCTAGAGACTATTAATAACAGGAGGTGAACTGCAGCTCTAGATGAGCCGGGCGTGTGGTGATGTCATGAGTACGCCTCTGTTCCAATTGACAATGCTCCCGTTCTCCCAGAGTCCAGATTTTCCTGTGTTCTCCTCAAGAACATACTTGGTGAGGACACGAGTCCATACTCGTGTTCTTATGAATTGAGAACCGGCCCGTTTTCCTGTTATAACCACAAACCTAAACCTGTTTGATCAGGATTTCATCTGCTAGATCAACACGCAGCAACGGATAAATGTGACAAGGAAATGTTTTAAAAATAGGCAGCTGAAAGATGAGGCACCCAATTTAATTTCAGCTGCCGTGGCACTATGTCTTCCATGTGGGTGTGTTTGCATGCAGGAGGGGGGTTAAGATGCAAAGCGACGTGATCATGCAAAGAACTGAGAGAAGGGAAGCATGTTTACCTCCTGATGGCGACCGTCAAGGCTTCAGGGGAGCTGGCGCAGGGACAGATGACCTCGGCCCTCAGCCCTTTGGTCTGAAAGACGTTGAGGAAGGCGTCACAGGAGGAGATGGACCCTAAAAAAACAGGATCAGCCACAAATTCTCAGATTTGTTCCAAAATGAAGGCGTCTGCTGTAGGTAAACTAATTATACCTAAAATAAGACTGGGAATAAAAGTCGATCCACTCTTTACCAGTTTACTGAGAGAAAGTTTCAACTTCTTTGTTTTGTTAGAAAAATCATCTCAAAAGTACAAACTTCTATTATCAGCATTAAATCTAAATATATTGCATAAAAAAAAAAATCATTCCATATATATATATATATATATATATATATATATATATATATATATATATATATATATATATATATATATAAGGAATGATTTCCTACTTATAATTAGAGCATCATCTCTTCACTTCTCTACCTGAACAGTCCTAAACATGCAGAAAATTTTATTATAATTTTTCAGTTATATTAGAAATCTGGAGGATTTTGGTCACGTTCTGAAAACAACCAATTCATCAGGCTGATGTGCACGGGGAACATTTCTTATTCTAATACATTCTGCAGGCCAAAGTCTGAAGGACGCTTTAGGAAAATAAACTAAGAAAGAGAAAGAGAGATAAGCAGGCTGCGCTCAGGAGGACTGCTTTATGAAGCATGAACACTGGAACCAACCTGACGGGTCAGGCTCAAGCCTTCTTTCTTCTCATTTTCCCTTTCATGTTTTCTTTGGGCGCCCACCAACCTTCACTTTTACTGACACCCCTTAAATCAAATCCATGTTTTCCTCCTCCGGCACAAAGCAACACTGAAAGATGGAGGAAAACCACAAACCTGAATTATTCAGAGGGGAAATCAATCCAAAAGTTTTTAATGAATTCACTGGGGCCATAATTACTGACACCCCTGCTGTTATTTCTTTGCACAGTGCAGCTCGCCTGCCAACAGAACCGCGGTGAGTCTACAAGCTGGGATCAAACCTCTCTAGGTCATCCTGGATCCTCTCTGATCATCTACTCTCTACAGGGTTTAGATCTGGGGATGACCCCTGGGAACCAACTCTGGGCTGAATTTGACCAAATGGATGAGAGGATTCCCCCTCTGATGCACCTGTCACACCTTGACGATTTAGACCAGCCTGACGTACGGAAATTCAGGCAAAAACGCTGGCATACGTTGGATAAGTTATGGGTACATTTTGTATAAGTTATGAGCACGCTGACACACATCGACATGCAGCGAGTACGTCAATGCTGAAAATTTCCTGATGTATGCCAGCGTATGCTCATACATGGGAAATAACTAAGAGTTAAGTTATCCGATCATTGACATACGTTAAGTGTTAGCTACTCATTAGTCGTGGAGTCCAGCTTATCCTAAACCTATGACTAGCTTCTCCTCCAGAGTTCATCTCCATCATAACATGAGCGAGAAGGTGAGTGTGATGGATCCTCCCTGCATGATGCTAAATCTGCTACGACTGCAAACCTTCTTTCTTTTTTTTTTATTTATTCTTTTTTTTTTGGGTGGGTAGTAAACAACAGCTAGTTTAATATCGCTATCAAAGACATGTTTTTATGCAGACCGGGTGCATCGCTGCTCCTGAGGGGAGCAGCTTTAATGCTTCATACTGCCGTGACAACGCTGCCGTCCGTTATGCATAAGTTTGGCTTTCGATGGACATATGCTCTGGACTCATTATGAATATGCTATGCATACGTCCAAAAAATAGCCCGAAAAAATACATAAAAAGTTCAAGATATGCCAGCGTTTTGGAAGATTCTGGGACATCATGCATACGCTGGCTAAATCAGCAAGGTATGACAGGGCCCTCATGGAACCAAAGACAGCTACATTTTCTATTAGTTTCTACCAGAACTTCCTGTCATGTCACCAAGCTGCCAATGCTATGCACTCTAAGTTGCTTCATGCAGCCTTTCGTGCAGAAACAGGCCCACGGTGTCAGATCACAGGCCCTTACCTGTAATTAGATGTCTTTGTAAGGAAGTTACTGTCTACTAGGGTTGTCATGATACTTAACTTTTCAACTCGATACCGATACTAAGAAAAATATTCCATACTCGATACCATTTTCGATACCACAAGGATAAAAACAAAGACTCCAAAATTCTACAGAAATATTTTCATTAATAAATAAAACACAATAAACAAATACAATAAAGGTTGTTTGCTGTGCACAATATTAAGCAAGCTTGATAAAAAACGTATAAAATTAAGTGGTCCTTCCTAGGCTATGCTTTGCACACATAACAATGACACTAGCCAAACCAGTTAAGAAACAAAAATAATTCTCAGCAGCTGCACCTCTTACAAAAAAATTTCTGAAACTGAAAAGTGCACAGAATTATTCAATCACACAGTGTTCAGAAAGTGCATTGTCCTCTATTCGGCACTTTAGATGAATGACTGAGTGGTGGCACTGTATCGATACTTTTAAAAACGAGTATTGTATCCAGATACAACATTTCAGTATCGATACTTTTTTGAGTATTGATACTTTTGACAACTCTACTGTCTACCTGTTGTTGTAGAGACTTGATTCGTCTTTTTGCGGCTTCTCTGTAACAGTAAAATATGCTCCTGACTGAGCATGTTCAGCAGGTAAACTTGGTCCTATTGCTTTAGTTCTATCATATCATTGCTCTGACTGCAGATGTTTGCAGATTTAGATCATAAGCTGGTATATCAACACTTAATGACTGCATTAAATGATACGTTCTCTTGTCTTCCTCATGTTGAGGAGTGGCTAAAGACCTCACTAGCCTTTAGCCCCCATGCCAAGATCGGTAACCGAGATAACTGTTGAGTGAAAATGGCTCGCACAACTGAACCGGACTGTGCCAGACACAACCGACCCGCGCTAACATGGTACTGGTTCATCAGTACGGCTCGGCGCATGAGCAGACCGCATCATCTCCTTACAGTCAACCTCTGTAATCAAGAAACCTCAGACATTCCTAAAAATACTAGCTTCCCTACGGTGTCACACCATTTCCACTGATGATTCCGCTTAGCAGTGTGATGAAACTCACAGTTTGTCATTGTTTCCTGCATCTGTAAGCCCTGATTAGATTATCCACTTCCCAAAAGCCGACTCTGGCAAGTGAATTCAGCAAAGGCTGCCTTCTTCGCCTAACTCTCCGCAAACTTCCTGAATGTTACGGCCGCCGCCATGTTGATTTGCTTGTTTCTCTCTAGAGAGCAGTAGTACCGTAGTTCGTCACTAGGAGGTGAGGAACCGTGCTAGCGTGATGCGTAAATGGAAATGGTAGCACTGTTAACTGATCCAATCTCAGGACAGATCGGTTTTCAGAGGGTAGTGTAAATGGGGTATAATAGGAATAGATTTCTGTGTCTCATCAAATTGAACCTGGAACACATTAAATATGGATTACATTAAAACAAATGAATTAGATGTTTTGATCAAGGATAAAGTACAAAGAAGTCTCAGTTATTGAATTGTTATCATGAAGTTTTTTTCATTAAATGATTGAACACAATATAAATGAAAGTTTGTTTCTTAAGTTTTAGTCTAAGAGCTTGCTGCTGCAACAAATAATTGTATTATTTATTTATTACATTTTATTTTAGGGTTAAATAAGTGTTATATTGGTCACAATAAACATTTTTTTTTACTTTTAGAGCTGACATATCCAACATAAGGCATGTGTTAAAAAGCAAGAGCAACAACACTGGAGGACCAAACACAAAACTAACATTGACTCCACATCCAGTCGAGGCATAGATTGTTCCTCAGCATCAATAGAATCTAAACCACTAAGGGGTTCATCTGTTTCCCTGCTCTAAAAAGTTTCATAGAAGTTTTATACTTTATCTATGCTTGAAAACCTTGATTGTAGAGATGTAAACACAGAGTTGGGCTTTATTCTGACATCTCCAGGGAGCTCCTCTGCCTCACTGACATCTTCAACCTAAAACCCACTTAAGTCGGTGGTGGAGCCCAGCTGTGAGGGGTGAGGGGGGGCCTTACAGGGGTTGGATCCGTCGGCGACCAGCAGCATCCGTAGCGAGCTCAGGTTGATGTCCTTCTGGTCTTTGTGGGCCACAAGAGCCCAGTGCATGTCTCTGGACTTCACGCAGGCCACTTTGGCTGCAGGTAGAAGCACACAAACAGAATTGCTGTTTAATCTGTTTGACAGACAGCTGAGAGATGGAAGGGCGGGGAGTCTGAGTCTGACCTTTGTACTGGCAGACTTTCTGGATCCACGACAGAGGGTTGACCTTCATCAGGGAGTACGGCACGCTGATCACGTGCATCATGTTCATCACGCTCTGCAAACACACACACATTCACAGCTATGTAACCTCAACTGAAGGCACCTTGTGATGTTTGATCTGGAAGAGGTAGCTGGTCTCACCGTCAGGATGCCATGCCACAATCCCACATCCTTCTTAAAGTCCAAGACGTTCACAATGGTTTCCGCTAAATTAGAGGAGGAGAGGCAGGTTAAATCCATTCAGCAGAGCATGGAGCATCTGTGTGAGTCTATATGTGTCTGTGAGGGTACCCTCGGTGTAGCTGCAGGACTGGGTGAGAGCCTGACTGTGTGTTAGCAAAGCGATCCTCGTCACTGTGACTCCCAGCACGCTGCCGTCCTTACAGGTTTTATACTGACAGAGAAAACAACAGATGGATCATCGCAATCAGACGACAGGGAGGCTTTCACTGGGGTTTGATCAGTGAACATGGACACAAAAATGCGCCTTTAAAAGCTTCAAGATGCATAGGTCAAATAAAACCTTTAAGTTTGGGGACAAAAATCAACAAAAAAACTATAAACTCCTTTCCTAATCACTAAAACAGTTTACATTAAGCTCACAGGAGGCAAAAGGATTGTAATGGTGCTCTGCTTTATTTAGGACTCCTACTTCAATGAAGAAAACAGTACATAACATTAAATAATAACTCACCCTAAATTCAACCTTATTTTTAACAGATAAACAGTATAAACCAGAGCTATAAGGTGCAAAGTTAAATGTAACTCTGCATTTTCTTATATTTTCATGTGAGGTTTCTTTAGTTCTGCCATATTTGTCTGCCTTAGTGATGGCTGAAGTGGTTCATTTGTGGCTGCTGCAGTTGAATTCTTCTATTGGTTCAAACGGTTTGTGTTGCAGCCCGTCATCATCATAGCTGACTTTGGGTAGAAATACAACTCACCCAAACAAACCTGTTTGCAGCGAGTCATCCTGCCCCTTTAACTAGCTTCTAATTCTCTGCACTAGCGATGTCGAAAGCTTCGTGAAGGAAACAGCTTTAGGGGATCTACCATTAGTTGGAACAATTAGAAATATTTATTTTCAATGTAAAAAAAAAAAAAAAAAGAAAATACAGTAAAAATACTGAAGGCTGTTTGGTAAAATAATATTGTTACACAGATGTTGCCATGTTGTTGATGCTCCAAGGCATTCTGGGTAAACGAGGTGTGCTAGATCCAGCAAGCCAAAACAGTAATCAGTGACGTTAAATCTTTCAGTTTGACCCTGAGCCCCTTTGAATTAATGAGATAGTAAAAATTACAGTAGGGGATGATGATTAGGGGGACCAAATGGAAGAAGAGGGCTGTTCAGTTAGCATCAGGATCAAAACATGCTGTCTGGTATATCAGAACGATGGGTTACAACGACTGAAAGATGCTTCACTGTCACTATATACCGTAGATCTTTATCTTCTGATGCGATGTTGATTTCATGTTAGCTTCTGCTAATGGTGGTAGCACTAGTTAATATAGCAAACAGTAGATCACAAGCTGATTACATTTGTTTGTTTCGGCTCAACACATTTTGAGGCAGTAACACAGTGCTGTATTGTCTATATTTAGACCAAAAACAACACAATAAGAAACAACTCAATTATTATTATTATTATAACTCAGCTAATGGTAACCTTCCTGTGTTTACATTGTAGGATCCGGTCCAGTAAGACCTAAACATGTCATCTTCCCAGCACGCATTGCGTAGGTGAAAAAATTTGATGTTTTATCATTGTCTCCCTTTTTATCTCCTCTTTCTTTAATCTATTCTCCTTTTCCTGTTCTACTTACATTGCAGTGTCCATATAATATGTAATACTCCCTGCATGAATTAGAATAAAGCTATTTATATGCATAAATCAAGCAGAACACTATGGCGATAGCCGTTCTGCTCCACTTGTGAGAGCTAAATCTTTTGAGCCTTTTTGGCTTCAAGACAATAATTCTTATTATTCTTATTGCCACATTGCTAGACAAGACACTGGAAAAAAAAAAGAAAAGAAAAAATGTTGAAAAATATAAGAATATATTATTTGAGTTATTATGTGAAACAAACAGGAATTTATAAGTGAATAGGACAATAACAACACATTTAGCTCATATTGATTTTTTAAAGCTAAGGTCCACTGAGCTTCGAAAAGCCATCTTCAAATACAGATGCTGAACAGAGATTCAATATGACTCAATATGAAGGTTCAGCTAGGCTAGCTTAGCTAGCTGAACCCCCACCACTCCTCCTCACACTTCACTAACCCTCTAAGGGTCTCTTGGAAGTGACCACTTTGGTTGCACGTTGCAGAATGTGTCATCTGGGCGGGGTTATGTCTTTACATGGAATTAGTTACCCTTTAAATCAAGAACAAATAGCCTTAGAAACAGATTCTTTCTTAGAGCTGTGAAAGCAACACTACCGCCCATCAGACACATCAATCCCCAGGAGAGGTCCAACGCATGCATCCTCATCCCTACCATCCACACACACACAACCATCCTCAGATGCACACAAACTTGATCACAAACACACAAAGAGTTCTATTGACTATAAAAACATATATCAATAATAATAATGTCAGGGTGAGTACGTAATACATTTCTGGTGTTTTCAACTGCATTTTCTTGTGTGAAATTCTGAATTTATAAAGCTGCAAATGTAAAACTAGCAGTTGGATGTCAGACAGGTTGGGTTAAGAGAGAGTTTGGCTGTAGGCTCACCTCTATGTAAGCAGTGTCATTGTTTGCATCTTTGATGTGTGGGAACCAGTCTCTGGGAGGCTTGGAGAGGTGCTTGGACTCCGTCACAAACCACAGCAGCTTGGGCCATCCTGCAGGGAGGGTTTAGAAACCAATGGTTCAAATGTAAATTAAGAGCTGAACTGCCGTGATTCATGGTCTGAACTCTGACCTTTGAACTGTGGGATCTCTCCTGTTGCGCTCTTTGGAAGACCCTTATGGCAGGCATCGCTGGTCAGCGCCACGGTAACGCCACAGCTACCCAATAAAAACCCGATCTGCTGGCTCCCTGCATCCTGTTGAAAAGAAGGAATCAGGAAACCAGAGGTTACATAAAAAAAAAAAAAAACTTTAGATAAAACAGGGTTGATTATGCATAAAGATGCACCGATCAATCAGAACTAGGCGACTTTCCATTTGTTGGATCTGATTGGCTATCAGCAGGTCAAATAATAACAACTAAAACTATCTGTAGTTCATCCATACATAATAACTGAAACTTACATTCATGTTGTGCAAAGACAACAGCCAACAACAAGTTTAGCTGTTTTAGTTCCTAGTTAGTGGCACATCCAGGAATAATAAAGGGCAGATTACACTTCTGCAACCATAAACATCAAATGTCGCTTGGCTCTGGTCGGGAACCAGTTTTGCTGGAATGCTTCTGCAGCATCGGTCTGGAATTTTAAGGGACGAACATCATTCTCCCACCAAAGCGCAGGGGGGAGTCTATTTGAGAACTTGCGTGAACTTCGGCGGGTGTTCGCGAGAACTTCGGCGGCACCGGTGGCAGTGTTAATTTTCCAAAACAGTGCCGGTTTGCAAGATATCATGGTCAAAGAAATGAATCTAGAGTTTCTAGACATCAAAGATGAACAGCTCTGTTAATGGAGTTGGCAAAAAGACCAATTAACCTTTCGTCGTAGTTATCCATTGTAGTTGTTCCTAGGTTTTTAAAAATGGCGCGCTCCGGCACCGAATCGAGAAGGACGACCACACAGACAGCTGGAAAGGCATACCAAGGATCAATCACAGCTGCTTTTCACGGTTGCAGAGGCTATGCGTCAGAAGCATGAATTGGCCATAATAATGCAATTCCTTAAAGGGGAACGCCCTTGATTTTACGTTATTACATCATGTTCTTCTCACCCATATTAGTTTTGTGTCATTTGGAGCTGTTCTGAAGATATTCGGTTAGGTTATATCCAAGTAACGTCTTCCTATAGGCAAGGAGTTGAAGGCACAAACTAAACTGTTCATAATTTATATGTTATGGTACGGTACGCCAGCATTCATAACATGTAGGCGAATCACTGTCCCCCAGACATCTGGCCTTCCCCTTTAATGTTCAAATCCTCTATCAGCATCAAAAGGTCTGCAGCATATTTTTTTCTTCTTTTGTAACAAAACATCTAAATCAGTCAAAACTAGACTCTTCAGATCAAACATTAAAGAAAAACCAGTCATTACCAGCCAGAAAACGTCTGATTTGTGAATCTGTAAAGAGATTAAAAATGGTTTTATACTGTAAAGCTATAAAGCAGAATTTATGTAAAACACACCGGCTGCATGAGGGGAAGAGTCCCAGGAAGATGGACAGTGTGCAGCAAGACATTTCCTTACTGCAGACAGTAATCAGGCTGTAACCATGCCAACTGTGACAGGCGGCAGCGTCTCAGAGTTGGCACAGGCTGCAGCGCATAGAACTGAGTGTGCTGAAAAACGACTGGCAGCTGGAAACCCAGTCAATCAGCAGAGCATATATTTTATTAGCAATGAGCTGCGCTTATAGTAAAAAAAAACTGATTAAGGACTGGTTCAGAATCCAGAAGCAAACCAGATGACAACGCTTTCCTCCAAAATGGGCGAACAGCAGTGGGAGGGGGGCTTCATATGATGTCAGATGTGTTCATATTCCTGCTCCTGCCCATGTAGACTGGATTAACTTCTTAGTTACCCTGTTGCCAACCATTAGCTAAGACTGTAGAGCCACAGCTGCGCTCTCTGCATCAGTGATATTCCCACAAACCAGACTTTAATAAAACTCAGCACGAGGCCAAGGTCCAAAACTGACAGGACAGAGGAGGAACATTAAACATCAGCGCTGTAGATTATCACATCCAATGACAACATGCAGGGAAACAAACCCCTGGTGACTCAAGATGGAGCTCAAATGGCGAGGAGGAACCCAGCGGCTTCCTGTTGACTTACTTTGCGACTTAGCGGGACCTCTATGGGAACGGGAACCACCTCGGCCAGCAGACAGCCATAGAAGGCCACCATGAAGGCCACCGGATCGTTGTTAGGGAACACCAGCGCCACCTACAGGTGAGAGGGAAAACATTAGAGTCCTGCTAAAGCTATAAAAGCAACAGAGCATTTTTAAAGCAGCAAACTTTAGTATTATAATGAAAGTTTACGTCATTGTAATAGATTGTCTTCCAAAAGTATTTATTTGGTCACAATAAAACTACAAACTATTATGAATATCTTTACAACTTTACATATCAAAAACAAAGCAGCACATAAGTGTGAAGCAAAGAAAAAGAAAAGTCAGTTTTAAGCTTTTCTCTACTCAAATATACAACAAAAGAGTGAGATCTCAATCTGAATGAAACTTTTCCATTACTGGCCTCAGAAGTTTGTTAAAGTTATAGGGAAGCAGCTGTTCCATACGTTGCATTTCTGAATTCTACCGAGTGGTGCCCGACTTTACACAAGTGAATAAAGTGAATCTGATTGGTTGTTCATCAAGAGGGCGGGATTGTTGTGGTGGAAGGTTTGAACGAAAGTTAGATTGTGGCCGGTTTGTTGGAAGCATCTTGCTAACCAGTTAGCAACTTAGTGCTAGCAGGTTCCCAATGGGAAATTCCATTGGGACCAAGTAGCAGTAAATTGGTGACTTAGAAACGACACTGTCAAGGAACGCTATGGACAGAGGAAACATGCAAGAGGAGGAGAGTTTAGTGTCGGAGGTCGTGGATGAGTCTCCTCCTTCATACATTTTCTATTTAGAGGAGGAAAGCGGGGATGAAGATGTTGTGGAAGAGGACGCCAGGGGGGCAGAAGCTTGGTTTGGTGTAGAAGGCTTCCAGCCGTACATGTTTGAGCCCTTGCCTCGCAACGCTACCAGTTCTGTTAGCTCTACGCCTGCTGAAGACACAGACGTCCATCCCCGTGAACACTGGGACGCAACTCAATGGGAAAGGAAATGATTCTGATTTCAACCATTGCGTATATTAGCTGCAACATGAGAATGAAGATGCTATGACCGAAAAAATTAGATTGACAGATGAGCGTTTATATATGATTGGCCGAATTTAGGTGTTCAGGCTGACGTATAACTAACTGGCCTGCATAACATAAGAGGGAAAAAAAACACAGATTTATGACGGGATTTTTTTTTAAATAGAAATTTTCTAACTTTTCGGACAATATGGTCTGATAAAGAGTAAATTTATACGGTATACATGTTTAAGCCAGAATGATTTGAACTTCAAATATGATTTCCCTACGACTTTAACGAACAAACAGCATTGTGAAGATTTAGTCGCCAGCGTTGGGGTCTGATCTGAACTTTAAATTTAACCGAGAGGGAAGGAGGATGAAAAAAAAAATGCAGAACGACCAAAACTTAGAGGTTCACCAAAGCAGGGGTCGGCAACATGCGGCTCTTTAGTGCACCCCTTGTGGCTCCCTGGAGCTTTTTCAAAATGTATGAAAAGTGAAAAAGATGTTTTTTTTTTGTTTTGTTTTTTATATATTGTGTGTAGGAGGAAAATCATTCACTATGTTTTCCAATGCCGTAAAAATGTGTATCATAAATACATTTAAACTAAATGTAAATATCTCTATCAACCTGCGACATGATTCAGCTCGCAACAGTGCCATTTACGTTGCTATTGTAAGCAAACCACTGGGCGCACTGTAATGAAATTATATCGGCTTATTTTGGCTTACATAGCCTACTTCCCTTATCAAAAGGCTGCTGTTGCAGGCTGTGTTTTATTGCACTGTTGCTCCGATAAGGGGGGGAATACGATTGTATTTTTACTGTGGTTTGAAGAGGACAGCTGTTTATTTCCACTTGGAGGTTTAAAATTACAGGAGTCCTATTATGTACACTTCATTTTTTTCAAATCCTCAGAATAAAAATAACCCCAAAAATCTGATTTCTTCATTGTGTTTCTATGAATCCATTGATGCAAGAAAGTGTAACACATTAATATTGTAAGGGAAGTTAAACATAAAACACCAAATATCATATAGCAGATTGGTCACATGGTGTAATTCTCTCCATGATGCACTGCAGGGAAAATAAACATTTAATCATGAATGATTATTATGGATTTAAGCCTACTTAGTCATTTTGAAAGTGGGCGAATATACACTTCAGAGGCTTATATAAGACTTTTACATTTTTGTGAATCTAGACAGAGGGTTTTTTTTGTTTTGTTTTTGATGGTCCAATAGAGCTCTATGAACATTTTGGGCTGCTGACCTCTGACCTAAACTGACAGGCTGGACAAGGAGAACATTCATCGGGAGGAGCTGCAGAGAAGGTCAGCTTAGAGGGGAAAATCAGCTGTTCACTGAAGACAAGCAAGACAAAAACAATAAGACTTGGTTGTAGTTCACTCCAAGCCATGTCAAACAACCATCATAACCCAGCGCCATAGAGAGACAAATTGTTGACGGCCGTAACCAAGCGACAGGAAGAATGCGCGCCACACTCATAGATGGTCAGTGGCAGTTCTACTCCCCGGACGAGACCCACTCCAAGCGCAGGTTGTTTTTTTTCCGAAGCACGCGTCCCGCCCTCCTTTGTAAAAATGCCGCCCTGGTTCGTGCAGTGTTGCCAACTCAGCGATTTTGTTGCCATATTTAGTGACTTTTCAGACGCCTCCAGCAACTCTTTTTCAAAAAAGCGACTAGCGACAAAGTCTAGCAACTTTTCTTGTTTCACTGGCGGCTTTTGGAGACTCTTAGGTGAAAGCACGTATCGTTCCTACTCTTGTCCTCCAGCGAAAGGTGCTGCCATGCGGCGCCTCCCCGTCCCAACCCCGCAGGAGTCCCTCCCTCTCAGCGCTGCAGTCAGAGCCACAGCAGGTTTACCCTCACACACGAGGCATGCATCCTCGCGGGAGCGAGTGGAATGTAAATGTAAAATGTTATTTGGTCTAAAATAAATAACTGAATTTGAAAGGTTTTATATTAAATAATGGCATTTGATTCACACAGCAACAGTCACTTAATCAACTTGTCCATTGTGTTTTCCTCTCTAAGATAATGATTCGTAGGCTCATTAGTAGATACTAATGAAAAAAGAAAAAGTAAAAAAAAAAAAAAAGTGGCCTCAAAAATGCACTCAAAAGGGGAAAGCTGGTGTTTTTACACTGGGCCCTTGAATTCACATTATTATTACATCATGTTCACTTTAGTTTGTGCCTTCAAGTCGTTGCCCATAGGAAGACGTTATTTGGATATAACCTAACGCAATATCTACAGAACAGCTCCAAATGACACAAAACTCATATGGGTGAGAAGAACATGATGTAATAACGTAAAATTAAGTGCCCAATGTTAAAAAAAAAACACCATTCCCCTTTAAGTGGGATACACCAGGGTTAAAAATGTGCAAAACCCCTGAGGGTCAGAGACTCTCCCACCACAGTCTCCTAAAATCCTGTGGGAAACACTGCAGTATTTTCTCAGACCATCTCATCAAATCTGAATGATGGATTTTCAAATACCGTGGGAAATTGTACGCCACACTTTTCAGATTTTATCAACATATTTCCTTTTGATTCCATTTTCTATTGTTGCTCCACATTTCCTGTTGTTTTTTGTTAAAACATTTATTGAAATCTTTGGTTTTAATTTGACCAGATGTGGAGAAGTCTATAACCAGAGGTTTTTAGGCTAAATTATCTGGTTTTAAAGTAAATTTAACAAACCAGATCAAAAGTGCAGAGAAGTGAGCTTTGGACCTAAATAAATATTTGAAAATAAGAATTTCAAATTCTTATTTTCTACTGACAGCCACATTCCTTTAAGACTTTACTATATTTATAAAGCAAAAGATAAAACCACTGAGAGGAGATGGTTCAGTTGATATCAGATGATGTCTGATCAAACTGTCTGAAAATAAACCAACATCTGAGGGAGAGGGACTCACCCGATCGCCTGGTCGCACCATGGGCTCCTGCTTGCTGCCCAGTTTGTGCAGGATGTTGTAGGCCAGCTTGATGCTGCGGGACCACAGCTTCCCTGCAGGGAGGGGAAAATATGTCCACAGGAGGTGAGAGCGTGTCTTTGTGCTTAACTTTGGAAGTACAGTTAAATAAGGAGCATTCATCAGTCAGGAAAGTTCACTATCAATCTACTTTAGATCATCCTGCTCTGTATGAGAAATCAATTTACTACAATCTAAATCCTCTAACAACCTGTTAAAAACACCTGAACACTGACCTTTGCTTCCTTAAAAATTTCATTTAAACATGGTGGGCAGTCATGGCGGTAGAAAGCTCAGCCTCTGAAGACCTCAATCACCACCCCAAATATCCAAATTAATTGCAGGATAATTTTAAAAAAACATTAAAACAAGACTTTCTTCTTTTCCGGCCGGCAGCAGTTTTGCTGAATCACAAGATCTCTATGGAGTTTTGTTTTTTATGGAATCCAAGAGCGGTCGTACTAGACTTATTTCTTTTTTCCTTTGCCTTCTCGAGATAATAACATAGCTATGTTGTTATCTCGAGGAAAGTTATTGATTTCTCAAGGTAACAAGATGATTAACCTGTATGAGTAATGAATGAGGCTGACCAACAGCCCTGGATTCCCAGTCCATCCATGCCTGTGGTTGTTTTGTTTCCTTTTTCTCTAACTCATTGTCAGGTTGTGGTGGATGATTGGATTGCATGGAATACAGTAGAAACAAACCAGACTGTTTTTAATAAAAATCTTTAATCTGGACTCATTTTGGGGGTTAATGCATCTTATGCCTTTTACAGCGTAACACTGGGGCTGTTCAGAAAACACCCATAGGTCCACACCTCCAACAGTTACTCAACAATGCATTAAAAAGGAAAGATATTGAATATTAATGCGGTCAAATTCAACAATTAGATTTTAGTGTATCTAAAGCGTACACTGTGCGATTTTTTCAATCGTTGCATGCATCTGCTGCTCACACTGTAGGACTAAAAGCTAGGTTGGACTCAGCTCCGCAGTGAGATGAAGCTGCTCTGCAGCTCTCTATCCTGAAGCCAAACAAATAGAAGGGGGACGTTAAGCTCAATATGGTGAACCGCGCTGCCTTGGCAATTTGTGCAATTTTGTGCTGAGGGTCTTAGAAAGAAAGGGAGACGACGTATTTGGAAAAAGGACGTAGCTGAGCAGGCGTGTCTGCTGCGGTCTGTCAATTTTGCAGACGGAGCTACATTTCACTCATTGCATCCCTGCCATTCTGCTGTGTTTACATCTGAGAGGAGGAATAAAAAGAAGAATCCTTCTTTGTGCATGCGCCCTGAGCGCTTTGCTCACGACGGTCGGGAGAAAATGTTTGATTTTCCTGATTGGGAAGTGGTAGTGGCTGATCGCTGCTTGTAACCCCCTGTACACTACAGGACTCACGGCGCACAACCAGGCTGGAAGTCGGGCCGATCGAAAAATTCTCGCACGACTGAAAAATCGCCCCGAAAATCGCACAGTGTACACCGAGCTTAACCGAACACTCCATTTCCCTGCCAGAATTACTTGAGCAATTTGGTAAATACATGAAATATAAACTAAATATTAGTGGGCTGACATGGATGTAGCTATAAGCACAGCTCTATCAACGAAGCTAACTGATCTCCTCGCTCAGTGGATAGCCACAAGCTGCCAGTTTGTTATCTAGGCGGCCACAGGTCACCCATCTTATAAACTACCTTGGAGGCAAACTATCCTGAGAATACATGAGCAACAGGCCGTGAAGAAAGCCGTGAAGGATGAGAAGTCATTTGAGGCGATGTGTGTGTCAGATTTTTGGGGAAGCTATTGTTAAAGTGGGGCATCTACAATTGGAAGAGGGACACTATTTTGTTGCAGCAAAAACACAGAAACAAATGAGCAAAAGAAAAGGATTTATAACTATACCAAAATCTTAAGTAAGACGATGAAATTAGAGCTGGGCGATAATTCAATAACGATATATATCGATCGATAGACGTGTGGGGCAATAGAAAAAAAGAAGGTCGATAAAAGTTCGATAAAAAAGAAACGCAGTTTTCCTTCCTTCTCATTGTAGCCTATCTTGTAGGTTTATGCTAGTCACTGCTTCCTCCCAACCAATCACAACCGCGGACCCAGGCACGCCGTCACCAAGCGCCGCCCTCTCAAATCACAACACAGAGCACATGAAGCTGTGCAGCAAGGAGAGGCGGAGGAAATTGTTCCAAAGAAGGGTTTTTATAGTTTGCCAGTCTGGCAGTATTTCGGTCATGGAAATATTTGAAAATATGGTTTCAAATCTTTTCAATAATTATCGATATCGATCAATATGCATTTTTTGTTATCGATAAGCTTTTTTTCTATATCGCCCAGCCCTAGATGAAATTACATGTGATTTTGCAAAAAAAAAAAGTAAACCTTTTCTTTTAAATTCTGGAGGTAGCACACACATCATGAATGGCAAAATTCAAATGAGCAATTTCTAATTTAATTTACAAGTTTAATTTAATTCAAAGATTAGAGTAAGATTAGTCTAGATTAAAAAAATATATGCCAACCACTTCATAATATCCATAAAACTAATGTTAAAACTAAAGTACAATCCAGCAATAAAACTAGGAAATGGTCTCCATGTGAAATGGAAGTAAATACCTGGGAATAATGCTGCCAAAAGAATTCATCATGAATAAAGAAATGAACACCAACCCGCTACGACAAAAGTTTTACTGAGATAATACTTTTTGCAGAGCAGATTTTCTCCTATCCTTATTCTCCTGTTATCCCATTCATGGCTCACACTGCAAAGATTTTCCATCTAACCAAGCCTTTCAACCTCACAGTATATCTAGTCAAAAAGTCAATAATAGGAGCAATAAAGTGCAGGGAGACATTTACACAGTTTTGAGAATATATTATGACTTTGAGAAGTTTTAAGTAGTTGTGTTTCTTCACTGCCAGATTATTGCACTTATTTTGTGTAGAATCTTCTCAAAAGAAGATTAATAATCTAAGAGGATTTGCTCTAAAAATAAGTTTTGGTCTGATATCAGATTGTAAGCCTTGGTTAGACATTTTTTGCAGTGGAGCATTTGGCTGCCAGGATTAAAGAACCAGATGAAAAGCACAGGTATCTGTTTCTGGCTGCCGGATATAGTCTTTATTAGAAACCAGAAGAACCTATTTACAAATCAGCAGTTTTGGTCATTTATATATTTAATTATTTAAAGATCCATAAACTTTAAATTCATTGACCTGAGAAAATGAATGCACTGAAAAAGCGATCTGGAAACAAATCAACATTTCTTAAATTAAGTTTATTAACCCTTAATTTGAGCAGGTAAATAAGATTTGCCAATGGAATGAATACTTTTACTCTTCAAATAAGATAATTATGTAATTAATTATTTTATTATTTCAGGTGCATATCTTAAATAAGATATGCACCTGAAATAAGAAAATGCAATATTTTTTTCTTATTTTAAATGTAAATTGTGTCGTTCCGTTGGCAAAGTGTCCCACTTACCTCGTCAATTCAAAACAAAATGCAATTATTTAAAAAAAACAGAAAATAATGACGTATAGATTTAATTTTTTTCCAGTGTGCAAAGTGTGTTTACCGTATGTGAGCACATAGAGGGGCTTCCCTGCCGTGTCCAGGCTGGTGAGGCAGGGGGCTTTAGGGGAGATGGTCCCCCAGCGTTGGAGCGCCGCCTCCAGGGAAGGAGGCCAGTTTGTGACCACACCCAGCGGCTCCCCCCTCACCGGCATCATCTCCGCCCCCTCTGGCCGAGGCTGGTTGGGGTCCGGCTGCTGGACTGGAAATGAGGAAACAGAACCATGCAGTGAGCGAGCGCTCGTAAACTTTTAGTGTTCATGGTTTGTTTGCTGCAGCTTGGCTCTGAAAAGACAACGTGGGCCTATTTATCTGAGCTAACGAGGTGAAGCAGCTGTCAGACCTGGCACAAGCTGAACCTGCTGCTAAGGCATGAACACAGGAGGATTTAATGAGCAGAACGAAACATTCCTGTTCTAAATTTAATGGATGAAAAGATGAGAGCAGAGGTGTACACTGGTACAGGACATGGCTCATGTATTCAACCCCCTTGGATGTCAATGGATTTTATGTGACAGACACCAAGCAGTGCATCATTTTTAAATGGAAATGACCATTTGTTTTTAAAACATTATTATAGACATTATTCTCCACCAGATTTGCAAATAGAGTCTATAAACTTCTTCTCAATCTTCTTTGCCACACAGCTAAAGATCAGGAGGATTTAGAGCATCAATGATCATCAATGTCCTGTCATAGATTACTGTTAGATTTAGGGTTGGACTTTGACTAGGCCATTAAAGACATGGATCTGCTTTGATCTAAACCAAGTCCTTGCATCTTTGGTTGTATCTTTATGGTGGTTGGTTTTCTGCACAGCATGATGCTGCCACCACCATGCTGCGCTGCAGAGATGTGTTCAGAGAGACGGATCGACCTCCTACCACACAGCACTTTGCAGGAATGTCAGACTTTGTCTCCTTTCAAGGGTATTGGAGAAAAGGGGGGTGAACACAAACGCATGAAACAGTTTTTGCTTATTTTTAACAACCTGCTTCATTCCTTTAAGTTAGAATAACTCTGTGCTTTCTGCTGCCCTGCTGCATTAAATCCTGAGCAATAAGACCTGTTTCTGTAAAGGGACAAAACGTGAAGGGGTCAAAGAGGTATAAATAGTTCCGGAAAGCTCAGCATTAATATTCTGTGTGATCTTTGTGAAATATCTCCAAAATATTCTATTTTCTCTTGTATAAAAGGATTAGTGGAAGAGACAATAGAGGACTGCTGTCTAAAAAAAGAACAGACAGGAGGGCAGATGGTGAAATGTGAGCAAACTGAGTGTTACGTCGCTGAGTGCCGCAAATCAAAGGTCCTCATTCTCTCCAATGTTCTGTAAACATTTGGTCTCTGAGGTGCTCTGAGCTTACTAATGTTTACAGAGATGTCTTTAGATGGAAATCCTTATTGAACACTATGAAACCAAACAATAACCATTATTTCCTCCCTCTGCCTTTATCTGTCTTTATATCTGTAACTTCAGGGGTCAGAGGGAGTTTCCTGCTTTAATCTGTCATCTGGTTTCAACCAAAGAGGAACATCAACCATCATCAGTCCTCAGAGGTCCTTCACTCTGCTGCTCCTGACCCGTCCTCTGAATAGTTAACACTTTACTTTGGCACAATGTTTTTAAAAGAAAGTGCGCTTTTTAAACCGGACCAAACACAGTCATATGGTTTGACGATGTGGATCCAGGATTGTGTTGATGGGGAAGAAACAAAAAGAATAGAAGAAGAAGAAGGTGTGTCTGACTGAGTCACTGGGGCCACTTTGGTTTTTAAATCTGTACCTCTTCACTGCTACATTCCAGCTACAGAAACTAAATCGCCAGAAAGTCTTGCATAGATGTGGTGAAAGCAGAGCAAGAGATACTGTATGAGCTGCAGAGCAGAGATGGAGACTAAACTGAACCATTCTTCAGTCGTCCTGCTGTGGCTTTGTCCTGCCTTCATGTTTAATGAACGACAGTAATCATATTTAAAGGTCCTTCAACATCTGGGAAATGTACTTCTAAATCTTTTTTCCCTCATGAGTCCTTTATGTTCGTTTTCAAATTCAGGATAAAGATAAAGCATAATATGAAGTTCAGTCATATGAGTTAGTGGCACATTTTCTAAGAGCGTGAAGGTTTAAAGATAAGGAAGGATTGAGGACACATTGAGGAAAGAGGATGGACATAAGGGAGTTAGGAAGGAAAAAAGGAAGTACATGAGGAAAGAAAATAAGCATACAAATGCCAGGGAAAATAAGGGCATATGGAAGGAATTAGGAAAAAGAAGGAAGGAAGGAAGGAAGGAAGGAAGGAAGGAAGGAAGGAAGGAAGGAAGGAAGGAAGGAAGGAAGGAAGGAAGGAAGGAAGGAAGGAAGGAAGGAAGGAAGGAAGGAAGGAAGGAAGGAAGGAAGGAAGGAAGGAAGGAAGTTAACAGTAATAAGTGAAGGATTAAAGAAGGGAAGGAAAAAGAGGAAAAGAACAAGGTAAATAAGAAGGGAAGAAAGAAACAAAGGAAGGAAGGACAGAAGGAAGTAAGGAAACAAGGATTAGGTAAGGAAGACAGAAGAAAGAGGAAGAAATTAGCAGAGAAAAGAACGGGAAAAGGAGGAAAAGAACAAAAATTAAAGGGAAGGATGTGGGAAAGACAGGATGGAAGGACAGAAGAGGGAGAGGAAGTAAACATGGTAGTAAAGGTAGGAAGACAAAAGCTACTAAAAAGACAAAATGAAGGATACAAAAAGGACCAAACAATAAAAGATGGAAGGTTGGGCTACATTTAGAAAACAGGATAGAGGGAGGAATGGTTAGAAATATTTTTCCAAATCATACCTTTCTATTGCTATGTCATAGACCTGGAAAATCCTGAAATCAAATTCCAAACTTTTCCAGACCCCCTGGAACCTGTCGTGAAGCTTACTAAAACTGTCTGGTTCTGTTAGAAATAATTTAAAGAAAGTTTTGGCAATGACACACATGTAAAATATGGAGTGGTTTCAGTTTCCATGGTGACCATACAGAGAGTTGTAATAATGTGCAGAGGTTTAATGTGTAAAATACTGCATTTGCTAAAGATAATGAGCTGAGTTCATGTCGGTGTAGAACAGTGAGACTGAGGGGAAGCTAATTAGCAGACTGATGGCTTTAACTGAAGGCCAGGATTCAGTGTCTTGTGGGTCTAAAGAAGCTCATCTTTAAACAAAGCATGCTGTCATTTCTGCCTGGGATCCAAACGGCCTTGTTTAAAGTAAATTATCGCCCTTTAAATACATTTTCTGCATCTTAAGGGTGAAAGCTTTCCCACAAGAAGAAGGCAAAGACCGAAGGACCCAAAGTATCAGTTTTCCACCAAAGTAGAGCGTTGACTTTTATCTACAGTGTCTTCTGTCCAACAAAAACACAGAAAGACAGACAGAAATTCTGCATGATGGACTGAAGAAGACTAGTGCAAAGTTATTTTCTCTGATCCAATCCATGCTTCTCCTTCAGAGCAGTGGGTTTCCTCCCACCTAGGAACACCGCCATACATCTGTAGATCCTCCATTAGGCTAAAGTGACAACAACGTCGCATTCAGGCCAGATAAGTGAAATATTGTAGCTGTGGCCAGAAAAACATTCTATATCCCAATACCACTGAGACCCTGTGGTTTGTTCTCAGACAGAACCAACCTAACTGATGGTTATCGACTCCTAAGAGGAGGAGAAAGGGTCTTTGTTAGTCAGGTTTTACAACAAGAACTAATAACCAGCAGGACAGAGAGAACAACAGGCACTATAAAGGAACACAAGATTCAACTCAGCATAAAATTACTCCTAAATCAGACGATTTCTGCTTAGGAACCTCTTTGGGAAACGGAGCATGTGTGCCACTGCCAAAACGTTTCAATAGTTCCTGACAATAAAATCTCAGTGAGGACCAACAGATGTGGTGCAGACATGAAGATGGTTTCTAACCCTCTAGAAGCTCATCAAAGTCATCAACGAAGAACTCGCGCAGCGGTGGTCTGCGGGGCTGCTTCAGCGTGTTAACAAGCTGCTGGATCTTAGCCGACACTCGACTGCTCACTGGAACACCTGGAAAAATCCCAGCAGAAAGAACGGGCCTGAAAACGTCTGGAGAAATGAGAGTCTCTGCAATAAAAACACTGAGAAACCTGTAGAGCAGAGGCCAGCATGTTCGGCCAAAAAGGCCATTAGAAGCCTCAAGACAGGCTTTTAAAACGCACTGAGAATCAGACAATAAAACGCTTTGGTCTGTTGGCTGAATGCTGAGTGAGGTTCCTTCAGCCTTTTCATGTGCTGATTCTCCTCTGGTCCAGACTCTATTAACAGAACTCTCTGTCCGTCACCCATAGGAAAACAAATACAACTGTTCATTGGAAACTCAGAGCAGATATTTGAACTAGGGTCAGAGTTTAATTAGCTAAGACTGAAGGACATGGAAGAAAGGAAGGAAGAAGGAATAAATGAAAAGGTAGAAAGGGTAGACGTAGGTTAAGAGTAATAAGTAAAGGATAAAGAATGCAACAAGGAAAGGAAAAAGAAGAAGAGAAAGGAACAAGGAAAATGAGGGGGGAAGAAAGAAACAAAGGAAGGAAGGAAGGAAGGAAGGAAGGAAGGAAGGAAGGAAGGAAGGAAGGAAGGAAGGAAGGAAGGAAGGAAGGAAGGAAGGAAGGAAGGAAGGAAGGAAGGAAGGAAGGAAGGAAGGAAGGAAGGAAGGAAGGAAGGAGGTTAAAAGTAAAAAGTGAAGGATTAAAGAATACAACAAGGGAAGTAAAAAGAGGGAAAAAAAGGAATAAGGAAAATAAGGAGGGAAGAAAGAAATAAAGGAAATAAGGACAGAAGGAAGGAAGGAAGGAAGGAAGGAAGGAAGGAAGGAAGGAAGGAAGGAAGGAAGGAAGGAAGGAAGGAAGGAAGGAAGGAAGGAAGGAAGGAAGGAAGGAAGGAAGGAAGGAAGGAAGGAAGGAGTAATAAGTGAAGGATTAAAGAATGCAACAAGGGAAGGAAAAAGAGGAAAAAAAGGAACAAGGAAACTAAGGAGGGAAGAAAGGTAAGATGAAATGAAGGAAACGAGGATGAGGTAAGGAACAGAGAAGCTAGAAGAAAATTACAGAGAAATGTATCGACAAGGAAGGAAGGAAGGAAGGAAGGAAGGACCTTTATCTGATCCTGTGGTTTCCTAGCTGAATGTGTCTGTGTGATTCTGTCAGACTTAAAAACCACCCAGCTGCTCAGTCGTCTCATCGGAGAGCCCGATTTGATCTGAACCTTTGCATTGGGCCCGTTCTGTAAGGCTCTGCTCCCACCTGAGAACACTTCCTGATTAAAGAGCTGCTATTTTTATTTACCCCGCCCCCCTCAGGTTTTTATTCATGCCCAACTTCAAACAGGCTGCGACTCTCACCGTCGCCTGTCTCCATGCGCTCCGCGTTGCCGTACTTCTGCGTGCTCCTGGCGATTGTTCCCATGTTGGACATGGGGTGACGTTCTGTGTGGGAGTGGGACGAGTCCGATGAATATCCCGTCACGTCCGGAGGCGCAGAATGGTTCTCTGGAGGACAGAGAGGAGGAGGAGGAAAGTGATGGAAACAGATGGAGACGAAGAGACAGCAACCTGCCAGTGGTGAGTCATTGTTTCTGCCTCTCCAGTGCCAGGTCCCCTTGTCTCTGCACTCAATTAGACACGTTTGATGGTCACTTTGTCTTGCGGTTAATTGGGTCACATTGTGACATGCTCAGCAGTCGTGAGGTGACTGCTGTGTGATGCAGCGCCTGATTCAGCATTTCACTCAAATAAGCCCTGATAAGAACTGTGTATGATTCATTAATGAACTGAAAACAACGCTGTGTTACCATATTTGACTGCTTTTTAATGCTTAAAAAGATGCGGGGGAGAAGATTCATTTTAACAAATGAAAGATTACAAAACACTACATTGAAACTGTTTTGCTTATAATAGTTCTGTTCCAAGGAAACCACGTCAGATTAGCTGGTAATGAATTCTTAAAGAGGGTTGTTTTCCTCTGATCAATCCCAACTCCTTAGTTTCACCTGAAACCAAACAGCCTAATCCAGACCTACCGTCTGACTCCCGAGGCGGCGGCCACAGCATGTCGGATCCAAACTCGCAGGACCGCCGCAGAGAGCCGCCGTTCTCCGCCACACTCAGAGCTCCTTTCCTCTTCAGAGACAGGTGGCCGATCCCTGCAGGGTCAAGGATACAGAACACGGTCAAAGCTGAGTAAGGAAGGCACAGATAAAGTCAAAAACATTCTGAACACATCCAGGTTCTTAATGATGATAAAGTAAATTAATTTAGAAAAGAGAAAAACTGGGTCACACACTACAGGACGAAATGCTGTGAGTAACAAATAAAAAATGAATGAATGCAGCATCTTTTAGTAAAACCAGATATATATACCATGTTGATCCTCAGGGACACGGCTGCCGTTATGTTGGGCTCTTATTCATTTATTTGAATAAAACCTCTATTTGGAATAAAAATACAGCAAAAATACAGCATTGACTCCTCTGGCTTCTATAAGCAAAGGTTAAAAAACACATACTGCCTCAGACAATAAAGTTCCTTAACACTGATAACAATGGATAAAAAACTAAATTTTTGGGCCATATGCTGCTGTTGAATGGGATTCCTAGTGACAGCGCACCGCCAGTGTACAGAGGCAGGGGTTGACGTTAAGGATTTTTACCACTTTCCCGAATTTTATTTGCCCAGAAACAATTTTTACTTGCCCAGTGTAATGTATGATTATTATAGTTGCTAATATTCATTTTTATATATATCAATGAAACATGTTTGTTTTTTAAATGTTTTTTGTAATTCAGTATTTTTTAAGTTTACTGGCTCCTCAAGCCTACATTACTGTGTTAACATGCTTTTCAATCCTTCCTGCACATTCTTTTCAAACTAAACTTTGCTTTAAACTGTTGTGTGCTTGGAAAAATATAAATTGTAATGTTAAAAATCAAAAAAAAAATTGGACAGGTTAAAAACTTAAGATAAATCACAAGATAGAAGTCAATGTCACAAATGAATAACTTTTATTTTAGAGTCACGGTATGTTTATACAAGATAATACTATTAATATAATGTGACTTTTCTAGAGAATCATTTTAAATAGTTATTTTATACAGGGTTTCCAAAGTCTTACATAATTTCAGAATTCCCTGACTTTTAACTGACTCAGGATTAGTTTTCCCTGACAAAATAAATGCAGCCATTTGTCGTTTTGGTAACTATATCAAAATTGCCGCTAGGTGGACAAAAATCATGCCATCTGGCGGAAAATCACCCGGCTTTTTCAAATCACGTGCCTTTTTCAAATCATGCGAGAATGTGTACAAAACAACAAAAATGGCGCCGGCAACGCTTCTGGGTTGTTTTCATCGAATGTTGGTGATTTTAAAGTAATTTTGAGTGATAAATAATTTTTTTTGCCCGGCGGGCAAATGCAATGAAATTTGTACTCTCCCAACAATAAAAAATACTTGCCCCGGGAGATCGGGCGATGGTTAACATCGAGCCCTGAGGGGTCTGAGCGGCTCCGACAGAAATAATATTTGAAGGCAGGATGGTAATTTTGATGAACTGACAATGTTTCCAGGTGGACTTTCTCACTTCAAAATAAATTCAAACTACTTTTTACCCATTGATCACAGCACATATATAGGGTATCTCCGCTCAACGCGCATCAGACCCACTTTTTCCACTGCACAGCCAGAGCAGCAAAGATGCTTCAGCCGCGTGTCAGAACTAAACTTGTACAAGCATCAAAAATGAAGCAGCAAGCGTGTTTTTGGTGCTCTTGCTGCTTTAGGTGTGAACGTAGCGTAACAGTGGCTAGCTTCCAGCCATGGCGTCCTGCACGAGTACGTGCAAAGGGGGGAGGGACAAGCAGACGACCATGATTGACGTGTCAGGAACCAATCATGTACAACGGACCCTCTTTTGTGATTGGTTGGGGTTATTCATTGATTTCTCACTGTAGCGAGGACCATTTATTTTAGTTTCACTTCCAGACCTTCTATTTCACTGTTTGCTAATGCTAATATGGTAAAAACTGCATCAGAAAAGATCTCCTACTGCACCTTTAAGGCCTTAATGAAATAAATAATAATTTAATCGCCTTTAATGATTTTTAATCACAGCAGAAACCATGTTATTGTATTGTATCCACTTCCAGAGTATCAATATTTTTCATTCCTATTTTTTAAGGCATTATCAGATACACCTAGAGGCTGTGATTAAATGGTCTTTAGGAAACAGCATCTCCAGGATAACTCTAGCAGAGGAATGGGTCGATCATTTAAAAAAGGTGATTTGAGGTAGACTAATTTTATTCCCTTAAACTATCCGTTCAATGCAACAAAACTACTGGCAGTAAAACAGGGCCGCAGCATGATACAACCACCACCGTACTGACTGCTGTTAAAAATGCAAACATTTAACTCTAAAAACCAGTTTAATTTTCATTCCTCATTATCATTATTTTTCCTGTATTCTAACTGAATAAAGTAGACAAAAACATTTCCACAACTTAAAGTGAAAAGTTGATTAATGTATATGCTTAATCCAAGAGTTAGAGATAACAGATACAAACTCAATCTTGTGTTCTCACCGTGAAGCGACTGTGACAGGAGGCTCTGCTGGTGGTGCGACTGGCCGAGGTGCGGGTGCCCCAGGTGGGCCAGATGGGAGATGTGGGTGTGCGCCAGAGAGTCGGCGAGCCGCCCGGCGTTCCCACTGCCTCCACTCTGAGTGGACGACGAGGAGGAAGATGTGGAGCCGAGGTGGGCGGGGCCAAGCTGGGAGGGGCGGCTCATCCAGTGCTCCATGCCCGTCATGTCGTCGCCTGGCCCCGCCTCCTCCTCGGAGCCCGACGACGAGTCTGAGCACAGGGGAGACAGTCCTACTGAGAGTTAGTGGCAGCCATTTTTTTCCCATCCGGCATTAGAAGGACAAACATACGCTTTCAAGCTCAAACCTTCTTCATGTTGCTAAATGGTATCATCTGAACCCTTGGTCTTTAATCAATCAAAGGCTATGGAGGGGATCAATTTAGTATAAAACAGCTTAATTTGCTCTAAAACCATTTTAAAAACAGCTGATTTTATGCTGAGATTAAGAACACACAGGTGCGTTCTGGGAAATGAAAAGGGACTGGATTTTATTTAGTGGCATAAGATGACAGTTTGCTAACCTTGCATCGTTTACCTTTACCTATAACATATGTATACACCTCAATAATAATCTAAAATAAAAAAAATTATATAGTGGTGTTAAAATGATAAAATATGATGAAGCTCAGGAGATTCAGATTGACGTTTACAGCAGCTTTTTTATCCTTTAAATGTTTTTTCTCTACCTAACGAAGATAAGCCATTAGCTTTAGCCTCTGGGGGTAAAATCTACCTCAGGTGATACTGACTGGTTATAATCACGTCAAACTCCACAACAACCCAATTTAAATCTGGATCACTGCTTTAACTGAGAATAGGCTTTTGTCAGGATTGATTTATTAACATAAAACTGTGTGAGAAGCTTTTTTCAAGTCTTAAGTCTAAAACAGACTAAAGGAATTTGATTTCATAACGTGACAGAAAAATAAACAACTTCCTAAAGGTTTAAGCTATTTATGGTCATAACATATGGAAGATTTGACAAAATAATACAGGGGAAAAATGTGGGAGGAATTTATATTCTGGAGTAGAAATATAAGGAACTAAATGCTATTCCTGTCATGATCTGCTCTGATAGCTGGCCTTGATTGCTCATTTCACTCACCTGCCTAGTCTGTCCAGTTCTTAATCATCTCTGATCTCATCCACCTGTAGGTTCAGCCTTATATTCAGTGTAGCCCAGCTATCGGGGCCAGAGCACTGTTTGCTCCCTGTTAGTGCCCTGTCTGTCAGTTTTGTTAGTTATAGCTTTATTTCCAAGTTTCATGTTCAAGTGAGGAGTTTATATTTTGAGCCCATGTCTTCAGGCTAGTTTAATCCCTAACCAGTGGGGAGAACGTTTCAGAGTTTCCAGAGTGATTCTGTTTTCCTGATTCCGTTCCCTCTCACCCACTGGCCCTGTCTGGTCTGCTCGCCTGAACCTCTGTTAGACTCCTGCTGGATTCTGCCTCTCCGGTGCGTTTCTGTCTGAGCTGGATGCTCGATGCACAGGATTCTGAACCTGCCTTCACGCTCTGGATTCCTGGAGCAGGGCTGCCTCTCATTGGCACTGCATCGGATGATCCTGCCTGAGATTGAGAGGACGGACTGAACTGTTAAACCGGGTAAGTGACTCATTCTAGTAATCATCTTCAGTTCAGATGATCGTGGTCTCTTACCTGTGTTTCTCCCTAAACCAGAGTGTAAGGGATTGGGCGGTGCCCCGCCCCCCTCCTGCAGTGCCTACAGGTCAACAGATCCTCGGCAGCACTCTTCGTTTCTGTTCTGTTCTTTTTTGTTTTAATAAACGTTTTGAACTTTCCTACTGACTGTCTCAACTTGGATACTGGGTCCATATTGTTGGGAGCTGGAGAAGTTCCACCTTTCTCCAGCAGAGTCCGCCGTGGATCCTCTGAGGGAGCCTCCTGCACAGCTGCAGTTCATCAAGATCATCAGAGGATCCACTACTTAAGCTGTCTTCAGACCTTGCCTCAACGCCGCAGTGTTGTTCCAGTTGGTCAGCGCTTAAGCCTAGATCCTCAGTGAAACTTTATGACTTCGAATCCAGCCTGGATTCTAACCATTGTCTCTGTCTTCCAGGAAACCAGTGTCTCCTCTGTGAAGCTCAGGAAGAGCTAACCTGCCGAGCCAACCCTCTGAGCCAAACCTGAAGAATCCTAGAGAACCTCCAAGCAGCTCAGGGCTAAGAGCTGGAAAAACCTAAAGCCAAGGTCTGTGCATTACTAGAAGTGAGACGCTGAAGCAGCTAGCGGACTCTGCTGATGAACCCCTCTCCAGATCCAACAGAGACTCTCCCAAAGCTAAACCTCAAGAACCCTCAAGGTACAATCAGTAGGCTTCAGGAAATCAAACCTCTGTTGGCAAC